AACCTGTTGCAGCTCCCACTGAGTGAGGGATAATAAATACAAGGGCAGTCTTTCAGTTTAAACATATCAGCGAAGGCTGCTCTCATTTATCCTCAACTCATCTGATTTGGCACCTCTCTCCTTGATCCTCCCTCCTCTGAGCCATAGTTAGGGTTTTGAGAAACTCCTTAATAATTTCAGGGCACAACACCTCCTTAGCCATTAACAGTTTAAGCTGGCCTTAAAGTATCTGTATTTCAGGGTTTGGAAGTACAGTCTAGCTGAGACTGTTGTAAAGTAAGGATGGAAAAAAATAAGGGGCCAACTTAGTAACCTTGAGGTAAAACAGTCAACTGTGTCCTGTAGCTACATCAATTTTTTTATTCACACATTTGTGTTCAACTGTAGAGCCTCAAGACACACAAACGAACACATGAAAGGTGCTTTTTACGATGTATCTTATTATAATTCTGTAAATACTTTTCAAGTTTGCATCTCTTAAAAAATCTGTTCAGCACATTTAAATTTGTCTTGTTATCCTAGCCTACTTTTAATGCACAGCTACAGTATTTATCATTTCTTTTGTTTAAATACCAGCACCAACATAAACAGCCATAAATCTTCCATGAACAACACAGCATATATGTTCCCGAGGGACTCAATGTCTCAGGTCTTGATAAGGGAGCGTTCACAGAATCTAACTGTAAAAGGAAAATTCCCCTGAAACACTTTGTCCCATTTTAACAACATTGCTCAGGCCTGGCTTCAAGACAGGAGGATATATTTTGCTGTAATCTGTTCTTAGTTTAAAAACCAATAAACACATAATACATAAACAGCCAGGTCCTCCATGGGTACAAAGACTCATTTCTGAGCATGGACATGCTTGTACTGTCACACACACGGTATAACAAAGCACATCAGCATTTACTTCCACACACAAACAGGGTCATCAGCTCTATGGGCAGCTCAAAGGGTTTCAGCGAGCCACTGTTAGAAATGATTAGGCACTTGTCAGGGCGAGGTGATTATCGGTGGAGAGCTTTCCAGTGGTTAAGGGGCATTAAGGTCACAACACTTTTAGACTCTAATGCAGTCTAAAGAGGTCATCCAATAAAAGGCACCTTTTATCCACCCACACCAAAGTATGCAAGGCAAAGAAGACTGTGTCCTGTGAAATTAATATTGAATATAGACACAAACTGGGACGCATTTGACCAGTTATGATATGGTAAGATATGAGAGGACAGGATGGTCCAGGATAAGATATACTATGCAACTATTAGTCATCATGGATATAATTCAATGAAATATAATATATGATTGGATAAAATTCAAAATAATTTGATACAATAGAACAATGTGATAAGACTTGTACTCAATCACAGAGTTGCTATGGATTTATTTCGATTGATCACAATTGTTGTAATCCATCATCATGATTAATATGATTTTTTTTATTTTTTTTTTTTTTTATTTTGATGCAATTAACCCATCTGCTGTGCAGAAATACTCTAATTCCCTGAAACATCTCTGGCAATGCATTTGGGCAGCTCATTCAGTTAGCATTACCGTCAAACATGCGCAAATAGGCAGTTAGTGAGAGGCTGCAGAACCAAAAACTCAATTAGGACCCTACACTAAATTTACAAGTTAAGAGTCGCCTGCAATAGATGGACCACACCGTAAAATATAAGCTTTCCCTCGTACTGCAACCACAGGTACTTCATAAGCCATTGTAGTTAAAGCAGTATTTTCTTTTCTTCACCTGCTACTTGGCCATATCTCTCTGTCCTTTTCATTATCAGTAGTGTCTGATTTGGCACCTTCTGTTGTCTCTCCCTTACTGTCAGCCTCCTCTTGTCTCTCCTCATTTCGTTTTTTTTAAATAGTCAGCGATAGACCACTTCATTTGAGGAAATAGTGAAACACTTGTGAAGTTCTGTCAGCCTTTGGTGAATGATGCACTGCGTGTGTATCCTCTATCCTCAGAACAGGAGAGAGTGCAGGTGGCTGACTAGACTGACTAAGCCAGTGCAAAAGAGGGCGACTGTCGCCACAATGTCTAACACAGGGCCTGGATTGGAGTGAACATTGAAACATATGCACTTACATGAACACGCTGAAATAAAGGTCTTTGGACAAGGAGTCCAATTTTCAACAGCTCCTTCATCAGCTCCTCTCCTCACCTTTAAATGCGCCACTGGCGAGGCATATTGCAAATTTTATGGTGTAGTCTACAAAATGATTGTGGTAAGCAATGCCACAGGGTGGTGACCGAAGGCAAGGTTCTTGTCCAAGGACACTTCAGCACATGGACAGCTCTAGAATCGAACCTCCCGATTAGGAGATAACCAACTCTACCAACTGAGCCACAGCTGCCCATACTGATATTGTGCTAAATATATGCATACAGTCCTATAACCATTGATTAAAAGGGGGTGCTATTGGTTCCAAAGCCTCAACTGGACTGACTGTATGAATATCACAATTTTTTACTTCATAATCTGTTCCTCTGTGGCTCTCCTCTCCTCCACTCTCCACTTCTGCCCACTACGTTGGTCGCCAGCTGGACATCCTAAAGGACGGCTTCCCTAAGCCTCCAGCCCCGGTGTGGCCGCTCCGCTTCTCTGCTGCTTCTTTGGAGTCCCATACCATACCAAGACCTGGTTAATGCCCCACCACAACCTATTTCTGAGTTTAATTATTTCCTTTCTTTGGTTTATTTGGTTTGTTTAATGTATAGGCTATCGGGTGAAAATTTTCATTTTGTTTAGTTGGGTTTGGTTGTTATTTGGCAGAAGTTTTTTTCTTTTTTTTGAAACATTTTCTTTTGTTTAGTTTACTTTAATTTATCAGCTGTTGGGCTTTGTCCCTACCCTGGGCCCCGCCCACAACTGAGGTTCATGTTTCGTTTGTTCGTTTGTTTTTGTTTTTTTTCATATCAATATTTTACATATTAATATCCAGAACATTTGTTTTGTTATTTAGTTCATTATCCAATTAAGTTAGGTTTATTCTTTTTTTTTCATGGTTGTGTGTGTGTGTGCGCGTGCTGTGTGTGTGTGTTTTTAGAATAGGTCTCTTATTCCATTTTTTAACAGTACTACATATTGCGTTTTGAGTGACCAACCGTAGGATTGATTTTCTTCTTTTTTTTTCAGGAGCTTGCGACAGGCTTCCCCGGTGGTGGCCTCCCCCCTCACTCCGTTAAGTTGGCCGTGGCACGTGGTGATTTGGTTTGTAGTGATTTTCTTTGGTTTGTAGTGATTTTCTTTGGTTTGCAGTGGTTTTCTTTGGCTTTGAATTCTTTTTTCCTTTTTACTTTAGTCTGTTTGCTACCGAGTCTCCTTGTTCCCGCTTTTGTTTATTGACTGCATTTATTGTTTGTTGGCACTCAGACGATTATTATTCATATTTGTGCTCTTTTAAAAACAAAAGTTTTAATCAGTAAAAGTGTGTTATTCTTTTTGGAAGTCCGTCTCTCGTTCTCCCTATTTTTGGTGTAACGAATCTGTGTGACCTTTAGTTTATAAGGGTCTGGTGTATTTCCTGGGGTAAAACTCCCTGATGACCGGCTGCTGTATAGGTCCAACGCTTAATTGCTAGTGGTGTGTCGGTCTTGAACGAACGGATAAAAAGAACTAGTTCTTTTTGGTGAACGAAATGAACTAGTTCTCCCCCCCAAATGACCCGTTCAGTCCGTTCAGTTCTTTTGATTGGCTGAAGAGGGACTATCTCCGTGCTTGCCTGTCTTATCCTATCGTCGCGCCTCGTTCTGTGTGTGGGTGGGGCTTAGAGAAGCAACAGCAGTACTACTGAGTTGACTGAAAGAACGGGTTAAATGAACTAAAGACCGAGTTGAACGAAAGACCCAGACGGATGAACGAGTTGACTGAAAGACCGAGTGAACGAAAGATCCAGACAATGAACGAGTTGACTGAAAAACCGAGTGAACAAAAGATCCAGACGGTGAACGAGTTGACTGAAAGACCGAGTGAACGAAAGATCCAGACGATGAACGAGTTGACTGAGAGACCGAGTGAACGTAAGATCCAGAACGATGAACGAGTTGACTGAAAGACCAAGTGAACGAAAGATCCAGACGATGAACGAGTTGACTGAAAGACCGAGTTGACTGGCTGTTGACATTTTGTACTTTTTATTATAGTTTTTAATGCACCTCAAAATAATGAAAACCATAAAAAACCTTATATATTTTGTTACTCCTACTATAATTTTATATTACAAGGAGTGCAGCGCGATCGCAGCGTTGGACCGGGGGTGGGAAGTGGGGAGTGCAGCGGTCACAGCGTCGGACCGCGGGGGGGTCGTAACGTCGGACCAGGGAGCTGAGACGCTCGCAACGTTGGATCCGGAGGGGTGTAATGCTTTAGATTTCAAGATCACATGTTGTTGCGCTGTTGAGTCTGAAGTGCAGTCAGTCCATTCGCTCATCACGTTCGTTCAGACGCTGAACAAACGTGAACAACATGAACGAGCGGACTGACTAATGACCGAAATGACCGAAATGACCGAAATGAACGGGTCTTTTTACTGAACGACCCGGAATGATCCGGTTCACTGAAATGAACGGTTTTGCCCACCACTACTAACTTCCTCCAGCAGAATGAATGCAGCTGTGGACAAACTTCAAAAATGAAATACAAGTCATAATTTTTTTCTCCCCTGGTTGCGATGCTGACATGTGGTTATAGTAAGACTGTGTAGCAATCAAGACAACCCTGGATGTGAAACCCACACATTCCTTACAGGAAAGTTTCCTTATCTGGTCCCAGGAAACAGGATATAAATCTTTCCAGACGTGTTTGCACTTTCAGGTTAAATAAGTGACCCAACCATAGGTTGACTAAACCTCTGACTCTTCAGGATTGGTCAGTTCGGCGAACAGAGACAGAGTTTTTATTACCTTTCAAACTGACTCCATTACTGACCATCTAAATAAACATTAACTCTCAACCCAGATCTCCCATTTGAGATTTAGCGTCTTAAAGTGTGTGAACATACGGACCCCAGGATAAGGGGGGACACTGACCTCCAGACCTCGGTCGTAAAACCCTGCTCGACCATACACTGATAAAGACTGCATTCCTTTGGTGAAAGAATACAAATGACTGATCATGACATCTTATGCATTCAGCAATGTACTAATCTGTCTAATCATGAAATTTGTGTTAAAATGAGATGTTTCCCGTTTTTCTATGTGCTTCAGAAGCCAAGTTATCTTATCTGACAGAATAAATCCTTATTCTTTAGTTCTTTAGACCAACAGCTTTTCAGACTGTTTCATGAACTTTTAAGAGTTAAATTTATTGACTATGAATCCTAAGTTTACTCTAAGTAACAGAAATAGTTTAGAAATGTTTGGATTATATTTTAGTTATTTATTTAGTATCTTAACCATTAGGTGGTTATAATGTCACTGAATAATCTGAATGTGAGTATTTAGAATCCATTATTAATCATGATGACGTTCATTCACATGTGTTTACTCTTTTGTTGTTCACAGTTTCTATGTGTTACTATCTGTTTCATTTCAGAGTAATTTAGCATGTTCAATGTGATACTTAAAACATAATGAGAATGTTTGATGTGATCCTACACTTCATTCATATGTGTTTAGTATCAAATTATTTATCATGAAACCAAGCATTCAATGATATTAATCATAGTGAGTGAGTATCAGATCTGACTCTTTTACCAGCCAAAAGAATAAGTTAGATCAAATAATCAGAGATTCCACGACCCCTCCTCTGTCTCACACACACGCCGGAGCCACTCCCAGTGTGAGAAGATAAAACCAGTGAAGTCGGGTTGCTCACTCTCTCTTATGCTCCTCTTATCTCTCTTATGCTTCTGCTCTTCTGCGGACTCTCTTGTCCCCGGCTCTTATGCCCCTTCTCTTCTGCCCACACCCTTCTGTGGTGCGTTTCTTTATTTTCTCTTAGAACTTTTTCTTGGTCTACTAAGTTTTACGCCACGTGTTGATTCACGTTGATTTTTCTTTAACATCGTCTTAGTTCAAGTTTTGAAACTTCAACTTTTTGTGCACATAGCAATTCAAGATTAAGCCTTTGATTGATTTTTCTTTAATTTCGCGAAGCCATTTTTGAAAGTTTTCTCTGCTCTTTGAGCCTCGTTTTTCTGAGTTATCTGCGTGATTTCAAGTCACCTCTGAACGCAACCCAGCAGGCCCAGGTCATCCTCTGTGCCAGAGTTTTTAAGTGAGACCAAAGAAGTACCCAAACGAGCATCCACAGGATCCACAGGCGCTGGCTTTGCTTCGGGCCCGAGTGCTGCAACTCCTGGCTCATCCTTCGGCTGACTTCAGTCGTCTTCTGAGCTGAACCGCTCGAACCGCCAGTAGCCCCGGACCTTCGGAACCTGCTCCATCTTCTCCAAGGACCAGTCTCACTTAAGTATGCAAACCTCCAGAGCTCTAAAGAGGGCTGGTGCTGTCTCATGCGTTCATAACTCAGATATCCACCTATTTCTGGTGATCTTAGATTCCTCCAAATCCACATCCGAGTTTATCTCGACACCAAAGTTAGTGTAGGTTAATATGTTAGCACATATTCACTCACTATCATTAACTTTAGTGCTCCTAGCCTGACTCAGAATCTTTATTTATTCACCTATTATTATTTATCTTCATTATCTTATCATCATTTATTGCATGTGTGTTGTACCATCATTTATCCTGTAATAAACAGATCATTATTTTTCTAAGTTCCTGTCTGTTAGTGTTCTTCCAGAAGTGGAGTCCCTGAAATTAGAATTTCGACTTAAGATATGAGACTGATTAATTAAGACTGATTTATTAAAACTGACTTGATGTTTGATTTCTGAATTAAACTTTTGTTTTCTTTATTTTCCCACCATTAAGGGTGGGTGGTGCCCCTTTCAACGAGTGCATAAATGTCATAATTTGAGATTATTAATCTTCAGACATTTATTATAAATTCCAATCACCAAGTATTATTTTGGTGCGGCCTTGTGAGGCTCATTTCAAATCGCTACATATATTTTGGTGCGACCGTATGAGGCTCATTTCAAATCACTATAACTGATTTGTGCTCAGGTTCTTTTTCTGTGCAGCTCCTTTTTTAAAAGTTATTCTGGGTTATAAAAACAGGATATGACATCATGTTTTCTATGATTGACACTTGATGCAGCCTATGGGTGTATGAAGATTGTATGGATTATCTGTGGGATACGTTGTTTGAGCAGAGCGTCATCACAGCGACTCTCCTGTTGAACACTACAGCACAAATGCCGGTTTCAGGAAGAGGAGACAATCTCGGAAATACCATCATTGTATACCGATAATACAATGACGGAAGGCAGAGTGACGTTGTCCATACTATACAGTCTATGCTCACACATGAACTGAGACTTCTGCATTTACACACAAAGATGGTCAGACTCTAAACAGTTAATGCATGCTTATCAAGGAATACAGATGAGCACAGTGCATGTTGGACCAACATGTGTGACATGAAGAGGCTTAAATGCTAACACAGCCATGTCATCCTTCTGCTGCAGCATGACTCATAAATACACATAATCAGAAATATAAATACACCTCAGCAAAACAGGAGCAGATGATGTGTACACGGAGACAGACTGACAGAAAAGGATTTGACACTGAGCAACCAGAAGCAAGGTAGTTTGATCAGGAAAAATAAGGATGTCATGCAATACAGAACATTGAAATATAACTCAAAAATTAAATATAATGTGAACCCTGTAAATAGCCAAACATGGGCCAAAGATAGAATTAAAAACCATAGACATTATGTTGGACTTTCTCCATGGGACTAAAGTCAGTGATGCACTTGTGGTATGATGGCTGCCACACATCCTCGACAATGGTTTGGCACATTGGCTGTGCAGATCCCTGACACATGTTTGTTAGAAACAAACTGTTGCAGTTTGTTTCTAAGCAGCAGGGGCAAACACCTACATGACTTTAAAAACCTGGTTCCTTTCTAATGTTGGTTTTTATCACCCCTGCAAAGCTGTGGAAGATTTCAGACATTTTAAGCCACCATATGCATGTGTTCAGTTCTGACAAAAAAAAACAACAAACAAACAAAAAAAAAGCAAACGTACAGTGATCCCTCAGAAAGCCTGCCACCTGAAGTATCCCCACCAGACAAAAAACAATAATAGCCTCAACTAAATTGACTATCTGAGCTTCTACTTAGTAAAAAAAAAAAAAAAAAAGACTTTAAAATGTAGTCACTTTGATCACTCTGCCATCTAAAAATTTCATTTAGGTTTTGCAAAATATTTCCAAGACCAGAATTGTTGGATAGTACTGTGAGAGGAGTGGTGAAGGATGCCAGACAGTGTAAAGCCAATAACTGTTGTCATTAACAGGACCTAAGGAGGATTAAAGTATCTGTTCAAATATGCATCAGATCTGCTGAGGATCTTGTCAGCCCTGGAGAATAAATACACCTGTTTTAGGTGATTGTGTGGCCTTCTCCATTGTATATACCACAGCCATCTTACTAAAGCAATCGCATATCAACTCATTGAAGGATTTAGTTACAACTTTAATTCAACAACACACTCCAAAAAGCACTTAAAGCAAGGCTTTCAGTTTAGCCAAGGAAAGCAAGGAAGAAAAAACATGATGAGCTCTCTTTGGAGACATTTAAGAGCAAAACTTTGAGTGAGAATGACTTAAGAGGTTTGAAAAAGAGAGTTCGTGTGCTTGTCTTTGAGCAGGTGAGTCCTCTTTACGTGCTCACATTTAGGACAGGTACCAACTCAGACCTGTATGTAAGTTTTTGCAGCTCTGCATGAACGTTTGCTGCAAAAATACAGACTCACAAATACACCAGAGGAAATGAAGAGGCATGCATTTTGTGCAGGGAAAAAGTAAACAGAAAAAAAACACCACGTAGAGAGTCAGAGGAGGAAAAAGAGGGAGAGAGAAAAAAAAGAGGAGAGGGAGAGTACATTTGTTTGTGCAAGGGCGGCCAGCGAAACTGGATCTATCTAAACACACCTGCTTGTAATGATTTTCACCAAGCTGTGTGTGCGTGCGCACGCATGTGTGTTGTTCCACTAAAAGCTGAAACACAGATGCAGAGGATCACACACACACTCTCCTTCAGTATGGTATAGATTTGCCCAGAATGGACTTTCTAAACTTACTGATGTAAACAGAGCACACACACACACACACACACACACAGCTGCAGACAGACTGTTCTCGTAATGGTTTCAGAGAGACATGAACAGGACATTGCTGCATTAAGACTTAATCTAAAACATGGAGTCATGGTGTATAAACATGTCAGTTTAACTTTGAAGGAACAAAAGAGGGATAATGGAGTTCATTATAAACACACATCCCTCACTGCTGTATACATCCAGACTACAGGAAGCCACCAGGGTCAAATTTCAGCCTCAAAGCCTGCATATACTTAAAAAAAGGAAGCCACTTACTGTCACTTTCTTTATCAAAAGATGGAAACTGCACATTGTTACAGTAAAAGGCAAATTAAAAAGATGATTAAAAGAAAAGAAAGAGATAATGTATATGAAAACAATGGTATGGTATTTTAGATTCAAAGGACTCTCAAAGATCCAAACCTTTAAAGACCTTTTAAGTGAATACTATAAAAGGCTATCTCAACCAGATAAAAACCAAACTGTGGTGGAATAAAGGCCCATTACGAAACCAAAAATCATTAAAATGACATTTTTAAAAAGAAAATAATAACTTAAAATGGACAAGAAGCTAAAAAGAAAGACAGAAATAAAGACTGTTCTATGTAAAAAGAAAAAAACCATGGTAAAAAGAGTTTATACTCAAAGTCACTCTCAATCCCAGAGATAAAATATAGTGTGACTCTGCTTTAATGTGGTTTCCAACTTTGTGTGTTGATAAGTGGCCTGTGTTTCCCTCTCTCTCATTCCCTATCTAGTCTTCTGACCTTTAAAGCTCTTTAACATCACATGCATGTCACTTTCACACCGCATTCATGCCTGGAATTGAACCCCTGACCCTCCAACGAGGAGATGACCTGCTATACCGCTGAGCCCCAATCACACCCACATTGTTGTTCATTACTCCTTAAAAAATGTTTAGTATAATTTCAACCTTCTTTGCTCTAATTTTCCTGTGAAAGTCTGAAGCTCCAAAAGGAATGCATTTTGTTTTACAGACATAAAGGGATGATTTACAGGCACTAAAATATGCTTTAATTGTTTGCAGTCATTCTGCTGCATTCAGAAGTTGTTTGAATGTTCTCCATTGTTTGAAATGTTTAAAATCTTAGAGTCTTCTCTGTTATTGGTGCAAAACTTTTGAAAAGGTTGGCAAACTGAGCTGAAACTGCATTACAACTTTTTTGTTTTAAACAAAGGTCTGACAGAGAAACAACACTGTTTTCATACCTGAAACATAAACATTGGGAAAGTTTTTATAAAGCTCAACTTATACTCATATTTTCATAACTGCATGGTAATCGTACTTTTTGTCTTATTTCTTACTAATTAATTAAAAATTTTTGGACTGCTGGCAAATTGGCATTTTGCTGTCAACACTGTAGGTGCAATACTGTACATCTGGGATTTGTGCATGGTCAAATAAACAAATACATAAGTACAAGAAAGATCTTAAGACCCTGAACAATCAGTATGAGGTGAAGATTTCAGGTGCTTCATTCACCACTGAAAGCATAGCACCAGCATCAGTGACCCTTTTAGTCAGTTTTAATGCAGGAAATCACAGCATTGACAAAAAAAGCATTCAAACAGTGCAGCCTTGATATTATCCTTCCAACACCATGACTGAACATAAGTGAGGTTTTACAGCTTTTTCACATCCGACTGGTGAGTTCAGTTCTTGCAGGCTTCTCTCTGCAGCTCTATCAAACCTCTCTCTGCTCCAGCCCTGACACAGCACATGTCCCAGACCTTTTCATGACCTCAACTCTCCCCATCTAATATTCACTCTCTCCTCCCCTTCACTCCCTTTCGGCGCATCTTTCATATTTCAGGAGGTTTTAGCTAAGATCAACTCTCTGAGGTTAAGTTGCTCCTTTTAAGGTCTACAATTGAGTGTGTGTGTGTGTGTGTGTGTGTGTGTGTGTGTGTGTGTGTGTGTGTGTGTGTGTGTGTGTGTGTGTGTGTGTGTGTGTGTGTGTGTGTGTGTCAGGTTGGTTTGGTTCATCTGATGTTCTCTGTGGTTAATGTAACAAATGTAGACAGTCAAATTGTGTTTTTTTATCTGAACTTCTCTTTATTTCTCTGAATAATTCCTGCTTTGTAAGCAGCAGTGCAGCAATTACACAGAGCAGAGAGAGTAGGTCGAATATATATTTCTGATGGTTAGATGCAGACATGAATAGGAAAACAATTTTACTGTCCCTCTTTGTTTCCCCCATGATGATCATTTAAACTACAGAATCATCACTATATGGATGTACAATGTGTGTGAGTGTGTGTGTGTGTGTGTCTGTCTGTCTGTGTGTACACTTTGTTTGATTGTATTTTACATCTCTTTTATGCACACTTAGTGGCAAAACATCACAGGTTTACGAGACATTAAAAATGTAATAGCAGGATTTAAATTACTTTTACTAAGAAATCACAGCAAATCATACTCAGCAAGGACGGCTTCTATTTGATATGTGCAGTATAAGAGTAAACAAAATCAAAGCCATGGTCCTCATGCAGAAAGAATAAAAAGACATCTGTTCTTCTGCATCTTACAAGGTGTAATTTCTGGTAACCTGCTGCAATTCTCCTTATTTCTTCGTGCTGGATGACGATTTAAAACTTGACTTTATTTGCAATAAAAACAATATTTTTAAACATCAGATTTCTTTGCTCGGTGTAGAAGAGAATGAAAAAATGTGTTAACATAGGTGTAATTTTGAATGCAAATACTGCTTTTTTCATAGGGACCGGACAGTGGGTAGACTTCATAACAGAGAGATGGGTGTGACAGGCAGAAAAAGAGCTAATGGTTGAACTTAAACCTGAGCTTTCTGCTTGAGGACCATGATCTCTGTTTATGGGATGAACATTTAGTGTACCAGACTAACAGTGCTCCATGCAGTTCTCTTTTAACCCCTTTAATGTCCTTGGTCACTTAGCTTCATAATTAAGAATTACTGGTTTGAATTAAGTTTTATATTTATGTGAGTCATGTTAAAATCCTAAGTTTATTTTAGTTGTAACCCTTTAGTGGAAGGATAAATAATGACTTAAAAAATGACAAAAAAAAAAAAAAAACATGAAAAAAAAAGATAATTTTATGATTTTAGAATCTCATAATTCATATGTAAAAGGTAAATATTTAGGATACGTGTTTTTCTGACACTATTTATCACTGTTATGTAGTTTTCTTCTTTTCATTCAGACAGAAATCTTCTTAAACTGCTGTTTCATTACTTAATAAGAGCTCAACGCACTTCTGTTGCCAAGGGAGACATTTCCTACAACTCAAAGAGAGTTTTTGCAGCAGGAGAGGTGATTCCCTTTATAAGCACTTTCCATTATATATCCTTATATCATAGTCAAGCTCAGCATGTATTAATTTTCACCCTGGACCTTTACATTTTCAAACACCAGTGTAGATATGTACATCAGAAAAGCAGAGAATTCAGAGCACATCAGGGGATAAACTGAATCAGATAAAAGTCCTAAAGATTTAAACCAGGGTGATCTCATTTTTTAGATTACATCAATTCAAGCCAATTCAAAAGCAGAATTAAAGCAGATATCTCAGCTTAATGTTCAAGAATAATAACCCACTTTGTTCAAACTGCCGCCAATTAAAAGAGCAGATTTCTGTGGCCTGACCTCCGCTTTTTAAAACACTGAAAAATTAAATGTTACATCTGTGTGTGTGTGTGTGTTTGTGTGTGTGCATGATTTTTGTTGTTTCTATTTATGTGCTGACAACAACCTGGCCTGAATCTCCCTCTCTGATTGGGTCCCTGGGAGGCTTGTTCCAATGCATTGTGGTAAAATAAAACCTCTCACCAACTGACCTCGACACACCTTTCTGTCACTCCTCAGGAAATCAATTTGTATAGGTGTGTGTGTGTGTTTCTACAGCGGTTATTATTTCCTACCTACTCTTTTCTTCCTCTCTATCCTTGTTTTTTTCTTTCTCTCACTCTTGCTCGTTTGAAGTGAACCCTTTGCTGAATAGTTACCTTTGTCAAACATTGAATTGTACTGAGAGAAACTTCAAGGTTATTCCTCAAACTTTTGATTTTTTTTCACAAATAGCTCATATTTTGTAAGTCTGATAACGGCAAAATTGTGTAACATAAATCTTTCTTTTTGAACTTTAAGGTTTCTGATTTTTTTCTATCCTGTGGGGAATTTTGCTGCACCAGTGTTTGTCTTTCTTTCCTAAGGCCTTTGTAGCAGATAGTCTTTAATTTTTAGGTTAATTCTTTTAGTTTTTCCAAAGAGCATGCACACAGCACGTTTTCCTATCCTTGCTAGAACAAAAAGAAACATAGTGACTGTGAACTTGCTAACCTTAACCTTTTTACTACATTTCTTTGATATGCATGATTTATTCTAAGTATTTTAGGACCAGATGACCATGACTCAGGCTTTGTTCTTTGCAGAAAGCTAGAGGTTAAAGGTGGGGAAGGCAGGATTCCATTAAAGAAGCATCTTTTTTGTGGTGTATATACAAAAAAGCTTTTAATATCAGTCAATAGCTATTAGTTATTGATGACATTTAGTAATATCATGATATTTATGTGTTTTGTTATGTCTGTGTAGTCAACATTTTAAATTTTTGAGCGGCCCACTCTTTCTGACTGTAAACAAAGCCATTCTCCACCTCCCCCAACCTGATTGGTGTGAGGCGGATGCTGCTCCTTAGTGCTGATTGGTTGTGAGGCAGACGCTGCTCCCCGTGTCATTCACAAGCCCAAGCAAAGTCAGCGTGCTACAATATCGGACAGTAGAAACCAACCAGAAAGTACAGAAAATTGTCTGAATCCTCCTTTGGCCACGACTGCCAACACAAGCTGGAAAAGAAGTAAATACTGAAGACTCTGGCAGAATAAAGGGTGCTTAAAACAGAGGTAGACCAAGAGCTAAAAAGCTGGGTCAACATCAATAAAGCATAAATGTTGGGGACACTTCGGGATCTTATGGACCCTGTAACCTTTCTGTTGGACAGGTAAACCGCTTTAAAAAAGTAAGCCAAGTGTCTGTAATAGAAGTGTTTCTTGTCAAACAGGACCTGCTGCGTGTTGTAGCGTTGCTAAACTTATTACCTCGGGTCCTGGAGTATGTCACCTTATGCGAGTTGTAGATGTCCTGCAAACATTGTGTTTGCTGGTAGTCTGTTGGCATCTACAGTAGCACCAAGGCTTTTTACATTCACCTTGAGTGGGCCCCATTTGTAATTATCTGAATTATTTATCTGCATTATATCAGAATTTAATTGGAATGATACAAGTGAGCAGGAGTGTCTGTTTGTGGGTGGGGCTTGCTGGAGCAGAGAGGGAGGGGAGAGGAGGAGCTGAGGGGAAAACTGGCTGGGAAGGGAAGTTTTTACATTCAAGATTTCTCCCAAAAATTGGCACTTCCTCAGATCCTGCCTACCCCACCTTTAAGCAAAGTCCTTCATTTACTCAAATTTGCCACAATTTCTGACTGAGAACACAAAGGCACTGCTCGATATCTACCTTGTTCTGATGTGAACATAACACCCAGCAGTTTACAGCCTGCTTAAGGTTGATGAAATGAAGATGATGAACTTCCACAAAGCACATGAATTTAAAACTTAAGGACATATCGTCCAAAGTTAAATAAAATAACTTTATAAAATGGTTAAAAGCTACTGCACAATGAAACGGTTATTTTGAGCCCAACAAAAGTTTTTTTCTTCTATTTTCTAACACTGTAATCCCACAAATGACATTTGATTTCTTGATGTAAGGATTGTAGAGAGAGACCCATTCAAACCAGAATTTTCATTATTGTTTTCAGATACATGGGGCTTCCTTACATTTACTGGATGTTTTATTTGTTATTATACCACATACCCTGATAATCTCATGAGTGGCAGGAATAAGACATTAATTTTCATTGTTGTTATGGTAACATTTTTTTACTGATCCCCTATGCAGTCATTTTAACCCAAAAAGGAGAGGGGAAAAATGTGGTAATCTTTTCTTAAACAAAATGACTATCAGAGGACCTCTGTGTATTGTGGGTAACTTGCCCTGAAATTGTACTTTAGGAATTGTAGAAATGGTCGATTATATACTGACATCCTCCACAATCATTTAAGGGTATTTGTACATTTAGTCCAAATGCTCCGGTGAAGACCCTGAAACATCTGTTTTTGTGATGTGAGCAAAATGAACTGATCAAATGTGAACTTTTTATCCTCCATAAGTTGGAGCACAAGATGCACTGCTTCCTTTTGAAACTTTTATCCTCCACAATTATCTCAAATGAGCAGGTGTTCTAAGGTAGAACTTATCCTGTGTGAATACAGCTTTACCCATATAGAGGCAATGACTTGAGAGGTTTCACTTTGTCCAGTGGAGGGCGCCAGAATCAATGCAAACGGAAAGTTCTTCACAAAAAAAAAAAGTCATAAATTTAGACTTAGGCCAAACAAGGAGACACATTTTAAGGATGTTTTAAAAATAAACGCACCTCTTTGCCACTGTTGTTTATGTTGCGACGTCAGATGGTTGCCGCAATCAGTGACTCCCCATAAATTTTACAGAGCTCAATGTTCCTTTAAGATTTTTTGGTATATTACTAAGTTTAAAGGAGATTTGCAATAACATGTACAAAAAAAGATGAGAAACCCATGACAGAAATACCCAGATCCATGTTATAAAAGTTATTTCATTAATGCAATTTCCATCTCGTGTTATTGAAGCGTGCAGGGACTGAAGGTTTGGAAACCATAGCCCTGTAAAGGTTTTTTTTTTTTTTTTTTTTGGTTTTCACATGTAAATGAAGCATTCTGGTGTATTCTGAGAAAATTATTAAGGAAACATATGGGGCTCTATTTTCGTGTACGCCGGTGAGGCGACGGAGGGCGGCGAGCCCCGCGCAGTTGTATTTTCGTCTGGCGCAGCCCGGCGTACAGCCAGTTTGGGATTTTCGTGGACTGAGGCGCACAGAGGCGAACCGAGATCAGCCAAGCTGGGCGTGGTGGCGTGGCAGGGGGAAGTGTCGACAGAATCAGCGGGTGCAGTGACATTTTCGTGCTCGCCACCGGCGTGTAAAGTGCGCTGAAAGCTCGCCGATTCAAACCTGGTCAGCTTCAGCGCAGGCAGAGCGCAGCTGGTCTAGTAGTATTTTGGTAGACCGGCGGCGTATCGGCATACGTCACTGATGCCTCACTGGCAGGTTTCCACAGTGTCAGGCACATTTCAGTGCAATAAATAATCATCAACAACTATTAATCTGAGTCAGCACATACATTTAGATCAATAAAGATATATTCTGATCTATATCTGATCTGATGAGCGCGTTTGGCACGCGTTTGGACACACAACCTGACCGAATCAACACAGCTGAAACCGCATTAATCAAATAGACACACATGATGACGTTAACTAGTTAGTAATTCGTCTCCCTCCTTTTCTTTCTTCCTCTTCCTCTTATTTCTCGAACAGCTCAACCTGGACACGTCTCCGTGTCCTCTCTCCGTCCTGCTGCTGCGGCGGCTGAACAGATGATTTGTTTCAGTGCTCAGATGCGTTATCTACTTTAAGCCGACATACCAATATTATAATATTCAGTTTTGTGAGCCAGGCCACGGAGCGCGATGCGTCATTTACGCACAGATGGTTCTGATTTTAATGCCATTTTTGGAGTTAATGTTGTGATCTGTGCGCACAACCCACCTTTGTCACGTGAGGTTTGATATATGCAACTTTATGTGAGTGTCTTTATTTGTGGAAAAGGGTGTTTGTCTTACCAGTGGGTCCAACATTACACACACCAAATCCATCTGTGCTCATATGAGAGTGTGGAGGATGCCCAGTGCAGCGCTTACAGTGACACTTGTTGAGGAGCTGCCTTCTGTCGCCATCTTGTGGCATTACTGTCTTCAGACATCTCTTGATCTCTTTGACTACTTCACGAAAATGGTAATACGCAGCAAGGCAAGGAGAGAAGCTGATCTGATTGGTGAAAACAGGTCTCGGCTGTGTTAAACCCACTCCACGCCCTCTCTCCTCCCTCACTACGACTTACGCCGCTGGGAGGAGCTGAGTTAGGGAGGGGGGATACTAACGCCGGGCTGCGCTGCTTACCAAAATACCAAATTGTGCTTGGGAACGCCTTGTCAGTGCGGCGGACCTGACTTACGCCGTGCCTGCGGCACGTCTCTGGCGAGGCACGAAAATAGAGCCCATTGTCTTGACCTACAAAGACAAATGGGGTGGGGAACCTGTATTTCAACTTATTAACAGGGCATTATAGCCAACACACAGCCTAGCTACAATCAATGAAATCCTATGATATGGAAACTGACGGTCGTGTACTTGTGTACATTCACCTGCATCTCAACAGGTTAGGCTACAGCAAAGGAGCACACAAAGACAACAGCAGAAAAATAGGAGAGCGCAGACCCACATTTATAACAAATCCGGCTGCATATCAATATGATCAGCCAAAGGAAAACAACACAAACATTTGCCTTAAATACATAACAATTCTATTACATTTGATATTTCAGTGGAACTAAACTGAAACTGGGAGAACAAATACAAGGTTCCCAATCAATTATTCTAGGACTTTTCCAGGACATCTTCACTCTACCTTAAAAGTTATTGATTTCGAACATTGTGGCATGAATATTGGGTTAGCTTTCTTTTTAGTCTGGCTTTTATGTAGTGTCTCACTATAATAAATTTATGGTTTATATTAGGTTTTTATCTTTATTTACTTTACTTTTCTACAAACAGATTTTTGTTGATTAACTGTTTCAGTAGCTGAAATTTTAATTAATTTTCTCTGACAGATGCTTTAGGTCAGTCACCCTGGTAGCAATCCATGCAGGATCCATGCACGCCAAATGAAAAGCATACATGAGAAACAAAAAAGGGCCCTACTCTTTGGACCACCAGTTAGCCATGCTTTGCGCCCATAACATGCTCTTGAAAATGTTTGTGTATATTGTTTGCCCTTCTCAGTAGTCACTTGCTGAGCTTCGACATCCAGTAGATTCAGTAAATCACTCAGTGGGGGGTTTGCGATAGCCATTCCTACATCTTCTGTCATTCGCAGTCAAGTGTAGAGTGAGGGGCAGACTGGACCCCAGTAGAGCAGCTAGCTATGTATGTCAGACGCATATTGTATCTATGCATCCGTTTGTGACCAATCTGCTCATGAACGTGGTTATGTCATTCAAAATAGGGACACTTGTGTGTGGCTAGGATAAGATAACTATTTAATGCAGATCCGTGATCTGAGAACATGTGACAGCACAGAAAGCTTGGGCACTGGCCTGTGGCACCCCTAATGTTAATGCACAGCTGTGATCTGAGCATGCGTGAGACAACAGACGTGCCGATTTCGCCCACACACTGGATGTAGAGATCACTAACAGACTGAAATACAGATTTAATGTTATGATTGATATAATAGCACGATTTCCTTATTTTGATAATAATTCTCAGGTATACAGCCAACATCTTTTTTTGCTCTGCCCACAACACCCTCATATACCGGCTGCCACTGCATTTGATCAAAGTTTTGCAAACAGCAGAGATGGAACAGATTGGGCTATTAATGTGGTAAGGTACAGAGCATCAAAAAGGCTAACTTTAGACAACTTTATATTTACTGTACATTGTACTGTACATATGCACACTGTGCACATGTTTTGTCAAGACAGCCAACAAACATCACTGTTGAATTAGAAGCTTAGAGAATGCATATGCAACAGCAAGACTTCATCTTTTATGTGTTTTGTACTCCATAGAGGAGTTCCTTTCAAAATAGAAAAAAAACAAAACAATAATAACAGTGAAGTTTAGGAAGTTTTTCATCCTAAATTCAACAGTCCTTTAAGAATCATCAAGAGAGATGCAAAAAGGAAAGTGTCAGACTGTATTTGTTTGCAGATGAAAGCATTTCTTTGCATTTCGTGCATGGAAAAAGAAAAGGTATACAATTATTCAGATCTTAACCCTTTGATGCGCAACATATCCACACCCCCTCTAATGCGCAACATGGGTCTAAAAAGACCCGCATTCATTTCCAATGGTATTTCATGCTGGCTGAGTTTTTCTTTGTTCTATCTTTTGAAATAAGTTTATTTTCTGATTGAATATTCCAAGTATTCTTTAAATATCTTGTTTTTGATCACCACTGATCATTATTTCTATTTTTCTTTTCATACTTTATGAAATAATATAGTTTCTATATTATTACATCAAGTTTACACACATGGGTCAAAAACGACCCATTCATCCAAGTGTGATTTAATATTGTATTACCTAACACTTTAATAATAATTTGTTTCAAGTAATGAAATTAGCAGTGAGTGGGGCCAAACCATAGACTGTATATACTATGGACAACTTGGTTCCGCCTACCGCCTGTATACGGATTTGGAGCCAAAAAGCTCTCGGTATTTCCGGGACTTTTCTACATTTCCGAAACCAGAGCTGCGCAGTTGCGAAGCGTGCATTCGGCCGCGCAGTCGCTGAGAGTCGCTGTGATGACGCTCGGCTCAAACAGCGTATCACCCCGGGAGAGCTACGCAATCCCTGAACGCCCATAGGCTGTATCCATAGACTGTATATACTATGGACAACTTCGTTCCGCCTACTGCCTGTATACAGATTTGAAGCCAAATAGCTCTCGATATTTCCAGGATTTTTCTTCATTTCCTGAAACCAGCGCTGCGCAGTAGCAATGCGCGCATTTGGCCGCACAGTTGAAGAGAGTCGCTGCGATGACACTCGGCTCAAACAGCATATCCCCTGGGAGAGCTACGCAATCCCTGAACGCCCATAGGCTGTATCAGGTGTCAATCATAGCAAACATGAACCCCTAATAACTTTTAAAAATGGAGCTTCACAGAAAAAAGAGGACTTGGGCACAAACCAGTCTGACAGTAACTACATGTCAACATCACAATCATGAGCGATAAAAATTTATGTTCTGTGTAATACATTTTTTAAGTTTGTCCACAGCTCCATAATCTTTGCTGGCGGAGGCGGGATTTATGACCTATACTGCAGCCCATCAACAGAGGGTGCTGTTCTCGGAGTGGCTACACCCAGCGAGGAGGCAGACTCTGTCCATTCTATGTACAGTCTATGGCAGGTGTCAATCATAGAAAACATGAACCCCCTAATAACTTTTAAAAACAGAGCTGTACAGAAAAAAGAGGACTTGAGCACAAACCAGTCTTACTGTAACTACATGTCAACATCACAAGCAGGGGGGAGAAAAAAAATTATGTTCTGTGTAATAAATTTCTAAAGTTTGTCCACAGCTCCATAAGGTTTGCTGGCGGAGGCGGGATTTATGACCTATACTGCAGCCTGTAAACAGGGGGTGCTGTTCTCGGCTTCACCCGGCAAGGAGGCAGACGCTGTCCATTCTTTATACAGTCTATGGGCCAAACACTTTTGTATTTTGTATCAGCAACATGTTTATTTGTCATTTTGTCACATACACATGCGTCTGATTATAGCTAGCTGAAATAACGCTAGCTGTTTTACCTGTAACTGTGTAACTTTCCAACATGTAATGTTCTCACTCTCAAGGTAACCTAAACCTAATCAAATCAAATCTATGTACAATTATATTTCACAACTGTCATCAAATAATTTCTAAGATAATGTCAGAACAATTGAAAAACCATACTTCCATGTATTAGATGGTCTTTTCATGCTAAATGCTACAGTCACTGTATGTGGGTCGTTTCTGACCCATGTATGTAAACTTGATGTAGAAATACAAAATCTGTGCTTCCTCATAACGTAAGAAAGGAAAAATAAAAATGATTATTTGTGCTCAACTAAAACAAGATCTTTACTGCATACTTGGAATAGTTAATGATAAAATTAATTTATTTCAAAGATATACCATGGAAACACTCAGCCATACATGAAATAACATTGAAAATGGATACGGGTCATTTTAGACCCATGTTGTGCATTAGAGGGGTAGTGATACAAAAACGTTTTTTATTCTAAAAGTAAAAAAAGAAAAATTAACATAAGGATGTAGGGTCGTCAAAAACAAGTAAATTGAGGAATTCCTTGAGTACCGACTGATGGAATTAATTTTTTGAAAAGATATATAAAATTTAAACTCAGCCGGGTCTTTTTTGACCCATGTTGCGCATCAAAGGGTTAAAAATTTTAAAAAAAAAGAAACAGTGCTAAACAATATTTTGGGCATGTTATTCTATGAGAAAATACCTCAGATTAAATTGTTTTTTTCAGTTGATTCAGCAAATATAAATCATATCTATTTTTTTTTAAAACTATATCACTTTAAATATTTTCAATAAAGTATATCTATCTAGCTATCTATCTATATTTTTTTATTCTTCATTATTTGGTAGGATCCCTTTATTATTGAATTTCAGCGATCAGTAAAGTTCTTCTTCTTTAGCTTCTACAAAAAGGTCACTAATCTTCCAGGGTTTACACTTAATACAGTTAAATGAGAAGTCTAATTAAGTAATGTTTGACACAAACATAAAAAAAAGGTTTTAAAACTGTCTATCCCTTTAGTTTGTAAACTAGCTGAAAAATTTAAGAATTAAAGCTGGAGTAGAACATTTGAATTATCAGTAAAGGAAGTGGATTGTACAGATATTGAAATCCAGCTGCTGAGAGCAGGTGGGAACATCTCTGCAGGGTTACAGGTCTTGATTTTTGTAGGATGTTTTTCAGCAGAGTGGGTTTTGCCGCAGTATTTCTCCCTGCAAGTAGCGGCTCTGACACAGCACATGTCCAAGACCTTTGCATGACCCTGTCTCTTCATCTAATATTCACCAACTCCGACCTGCTCCCTCCATCCTTCCCCTCTTTGTGTCTGCTCCACTTCAACCTCCTCTCCTCCTGCCACCAGGTTATTCATATTTCAGGAGATTTTAGCAAGGATCAACTCTCCGAGGTTAAGTCCTTCTTCCTGAACATGTATGCCTGTGTGTGTGAAAGAAAGAGAGAGAGAGAGAGAGAGAGAGAGAGAGAGAGAGAGAGAGAGAGAGAGAGAGTGAGTGTGTGTCTGTGTGTGCGTGCTTAGTAGACCACCATGTCCCAGAGGTTAAGTCAAGTGTTTCAGAAATCAGTAGGAGGCGTGTTTTGCTCTGTGTGTGTGTGAGTTTTTTCCCATCAGCTGACAGATTGTGCAGGATGGGAAGTGAAAGAGGGAAAAAGCTTTTTTAGGTTGAAAAGTCAAAAGAAAATTTTAAAGTCCACAGAAAATCTAGTCCCTTTATAAAAGGCTCTTTCAGGGCAATGGATCCTCTGATACATAGTTTGCAAAACCAGCTCGTCCGAAATGATGAGGAGCATTCTGATGCCTCATTTTCATTTGCACAAATGTCCTGAACATACATCAATTAATGTCTGGGGAAGTTTTTACACAGACAACCCATGTTGCAAGATTCATTCTTGCAAAGGCAGAACACAACCTCCACAGTCAAGCAAGCACTTTTGTAATGTGCATGAAGGCAGTGACGGACTCTGACTGCAACAACTGTTGCAGACGAGTGAAAAAAATTGTGTGCCTCTAAACTTACTCAGTCTTTAAGAGGAATACTTTATTTTTGTTTTGACTGACAATTTAGATTACAGTGACCAGACGTCCCCGATTTCTGGGGACAGTCCCCAATTTGCCTGTGCTGTCCCCAGCCAGAAACTGTCCCCGGAAATGTCCCCGATTTCAGCATTGAAAATGGTTGTTTTGTTTACACTGCTCTAGCCAGCCTATTCTTCCTGCTTCCTCTGTAAACTGCTATTCATCCCAACTCCTCCTTTTTATACCATATAACCAATGTCTTACACTTTCATGTCATTTCTGTTCCATACTTTGGAGGTCAATGCTCTCCCTGCTCCATCTCAGGTCCTCCTTTTCGAGCTAAGTCTGATTTTATCAGGGTCTTATGAGTTGTCACTGATGCCTGCTCTCAGAGAGCTCCAGGGAAGGTGTGCTCTTCCTGTCCCAGGCTTTGTCATTCCACGTACACTCCTGGAGGGGCAGGGAGCTTTCAGAACAGAATCACACTGCGGGTTATAATTGACAGCATGTGCCAAAACTGGTCCTAAAATTAACACTAGCCAAGAGAAAAGGCTGTCTATTCAAGAGAGCTCCTACACTCACAGAAATATTTACAGCTCACTGCATACAAAATTTCCATCTATTTGAATTACTCAGATTTAACATAAACAGGCCAATAAACTTTATGTGCTGCATATTTGTCGGTCAAATGTAAATGAAACATTTAAGTTAGATTGATGTAATAATACCCAATATCTTTTGACTAAATAATGAAGATTTACATATTGATCATTGATAACTTCAATTAGTTTTTGTCATCAATTTTATTTAATGAATCTTGGTTGAGCCACAGCTCATCATATTTAAACTATATTCATACATTTTAAATGATTAAATAGAATTGTTTTCAGAATAACAGATTTTTGCCAATTTTAGGAAGGTTAAATTAATTCTAATTAAAAAAAAAATGGAAAATATCAATAAAATCAAATAAATGTAAATACTTAAAAATAAACTATGCCATGATTTATTTTTCTGAGTGAACAACATCTATTCTCTGAGCCTACAAAAGTTTGTGCATGTGCAAAATGCATGCACTTTGCATAATTTAGTGCACTTCAAGGTCCAGGTTTCAGGGTTGGAAATACTCCCTCTGTCTTATATATGTCAGTATGACATCTCTATGGAGTCAGCCTCGGCCTCAGCTTAGGGAAATCATTTCTGTACTTGCAGATGCACACATACAGAAACATACTTCTCTTTAGGCTGCCACACCATGTGGTTCTGTCATTAAGGTTAAAGCTTCATGACAAACACACTTTGTTTGAGTGTGGATAATTGAGTTCACAAAACACAATGCAGAAGAGGGCCTTCCATACGTTGGCTATGTAAATTTACTCCAGCTAATGATGCTAACTTCAGATGCATCATAATCAACTTATTCACAGTGAGATGTACATATTTACAGGCTCTGCACACTTATTTATTTACATAATACTCATGTTACATACTTACATGTCAATATATTCATCATGTTTAGCACAGCTCCTGCCGCGCTTATACAGAGAAATACCTGCAGTTAAATTAATATTGTTTGCAATGTGAACAGGAATGAATCTTGTATTTTTTGACTGCTTTTCAGAGTTTGATGTGTTTTAAAATATATTTGAGCTGTGATTTTTTTTTCTATGATGCTGCATTCAAGTGCTGGTGCTGCAGTCTGAAATTGGAGCACTTAACAGCTATTCTGTTTGGAAATCAAATCATAAAGCAAACCATTTTACAGGCTGAGGCATGGCAAGTAAACATTCAGCTTTAGAAAAGCTTTGGCCCGCACTAAGTGTCATTTAGTCTGTGAGTACCTACTGTTTTCTTCCTTTTTATTCTTGTCCCCCTCCACTTCTTGCATCTGCACTCATTCCCATCATCTTCCTCTTATTATTTATTGTTGCAGAAAATACAGCTGTGTAAATATTCATCAAATCTAGAAAATGCAACCACCCTTCCTCCATGTGCACTCTTGTTTCATGACTGCATCTTCATCCTCACACCCTCCTTGTCTGCCCCCTTGTTTCCTCTCTCCTCCTTCCTCTTCCCATCTAAGTAACCAACAGACAGAAGTGTCCATTTGAGAGAAGAGTCAGGTAGTGATTTATGCTCCGGTGTCTGAAATCCCCCTCACTCTCTCTCTTTATCACACATCCTCTCTACCTCTTAGTGACCCATAAATCTTACCCTGATCCATGGAAACACACATGTGCACCAGCATGCAAGAATTCACACCCACAAACCCCATGTGCTGAGCGACTTCGAGCACAAACATGATCTTCCAGCAACCTCTCTAACACACACATATACGCAAGCATGAAAGCAAGCACGAACCCCCTTTACTTGGTGACATCAGCCCCTTATCATTAATTTTAATGACCATCAATAACACCATGATACTCAGGAGCATGCGCACACACACATCTGCACTGCAACAGGCGCCACAGATCTTGGAGAGCAATTATAGTCTGCACTTTGTTTATTATCTGTTACGAGAGGCAAGGGACTCTGTGTGTGTGTGTGTGTGTGTGTGTGTGTGTGCTATTTCGATAAGATCAGCTTGTGTTTCTGGGATCCTCTTCAGCATTGGCACCTCTCTCTGTCTTCATTGACACTCCACCATGACAGAAAGCCAGAAGCAAACACAATGACTGACGGGAAGAGGTGGGGAACGCCTGTGTGTCCGTAAGTGTGTGTGTGTGTGTGTAAGATACAACCAATGTACAATTCACCTATCAAGAATTAAAGCTGATCTCAAACTGTCATATTTTAACAAATAACAAAATAATGTGCTTATGGAAATAAAATGGGACTTTTCCTTATTGGAATAATGTTATTTGGTGCAGACAGATTAAAATCAAAATATTTGGGCCTGATTCACAGAAAAAAAAAAAAAAAAACCACAACATTTGCTTCCCTCAAACTCCAAACTGTGCTGATGAGGCTAAAGACAGTCTCCATTTTTAAAACATGAACAAAGAGTTAAATATACCACAAACTGCGCTTCTACACAAACTGCATCCATGTGCATAGTGCTACTTGCATACATTAAAGACCCACTCTGGTAAAAATCATGTTTTTCTTGTTGTCTACATGTTCATATGGCATTTTTCTGATGCTACAGGACATCTCATGAGAAAAAAGTAAGTGCAAAATTTAATTTCTGAGAATTTCTGCATTGAAATCTCTGTGAATCTCTTGCAGACCCAAATGGCAGGTTCAGATTCAGTGAGATTTTATGCATAGCAAATCCAAGCTCCGTCCCTGGAGCTCCGCTATGCAGGCCACGCTCAGAAAAGTATAAGACGATCACGGTACAAGCGTGTGCGGATTGCAATGCTCATAAGAAAGCTAAATATGATATTAGCTTTCATCATGCCCCTAAAGACATTTGTGTCAGAGAGCTAAATGGCTCCTATGTTACCTGCCACTTCTACGACTCCGGCAATGTTAGGCAACAAGCTAGCCTGAAGAGGAGTGTGCAGAACAGCGCTGTCTCTGCCCACAACTCAGAGGCTTTTTGCTATAATGAGCTACAAGAGCTCTACAGAAGAAAAGCCCTTGAAAATGACACAGGTAACATGATTTTGGTTAAAAACTTAATCACAATTTAAAGACCACTAAGAACACTTTAAATAGAAAAAAAAATGATTGGAGAAGGACTTTAAGATAAGCCAACATGCATCAATTTGGAGCTTAATGTGCATGTCTATGCAAGTGGACCTCACTGCAAGCAAACATGTATTTGTACATACAGCCTAACCATAGCATTAAAACTTGTTTTGTTCCGTTTAACGCTGACCACCTAAGTGTCTCCAATTAAAGAGCAGATGACAACTGAAGCTAGTTTGAAGATTTATTTCCATCCAAACCATGCTTTTCTGCATCAGTCAGAACAAATGAAATAATAAGATAACATAAGCTTGAAACAGTGAATGCAGAACTCAACATCAACATGAAAATGGTAAAGAAAAGACAGTCAAATTAAGATAAACAGTCTTACATGCTCAATTACACATGGCCTGGGTGTGGATGGAGATCAGAAAGACCTCTGCTTGAGTGAGCTGGGCTTTTAAAACTCACTGCAGGCACACCTGTGTTACCAACACACATGTCAGCAATGATCACACCCAGAGGTGTACCATTTATTTTGACCAGCAGATGCTACCATTGTGACAGCATAGGAGAATTTACAACAAATAGCATTTGACTATATGGCAGTTACATTGGCCTGTCTCAGGCTCCAGCAGAACTATTTCGTATTTAAAGTTTTTTTTTTTTTTTCTTTCAACTTTGTACATGCTCTACTTCTTGCCAGCTCACTCCAGGAATTAGGTTGGGTATGAGCCTTGACAGTTATGTCACATCTAGCACACTACATGAGTATATGTCATTCTAGCCCCTCATACTGTATATGTGGAGAAAATTTAGCTCAGTCAGGGTGAGAATGCACAGTGCAGTTCTGTGCAGTAGAGTGTGAAGATACGACTCATCACAGCCAAAGAAAAATGGCAAAACTGGAGCTAAGTGTGCAGGGCTGGAGCAGTTTGTGGCTGTTCTGCTGTTTGGCTATGGTGAGCAGACACCCCTTCAAGGGTAGAGGAGAGTATGGTTCTTGATGCTACAGGTGGCCACGGTGATTCAATCCCTACAGACCACAGTAAGTAAAATGATGTCATACGGACCCCAGTAACCTCCTGGAAAAAAAGCTGCAACATACACACCTGCCAGTTCACCACATAATGCACAACATTATGCATAAGCCCTGACATTTAATTTAGCTTCAATGATACAAAATAAAGATCAATTAATAAAAACCCAATCCATATCAAAAGCACTTTTTGTTGTTTGAACACAGGACCTGATAGAGGTTCCTTAGCATTTGCAGACAGCCTCCAGTGGACAGTCAAGGAAATACAGTTTTTTTTTTTTTTCCACTCAGGCATCAGCTTTTTCAGCACTGAGGTTGCTGCTTGATATTGAGTCTCTTACAGCCATAATGCCCCAAAGGACCTCGTAAAGTTAGCATGCTAACCATACCTTCATTGCGGCTGTGTGATTAAGCATTTGCAAAGTGGATACCACAACTCTGAATCTCTTGGTGTTCAGTCAGAAGACTGACTCTCTTTTCAAATCCTGTCTTAACACTGTTTTTACTGCTTTTTCTTTTTAGTCCTCAGCTTATTATACTAGTAACAATGTCCAGGAAGTCAACTTTATTGTATTTTGCTGCCTGTCTGGCTGTTTTCATGTCTCTTTTTTATTTCACTCTTACTGTGTGCTTGCATTTAACTTTTTTTGCATTTGCAGTTGTCTACTTGAACTTTTCTCGGTTAATGTTTTCAAAACTTCGATAAAGGTTTTTTTTGAGACAACAGTATTTTTCAAGTTGGCTTTGTAAACGCTATTGGAAGGCAACAGGATTGGCTTTTCGAACCAGGGTTGGACTAAGCAGGAAATCTGGATCATGACAGACAGAGGACTGACCACAAAGCTGGTGGAGGACTGACCACAAAACTGGTGGAGTACTGACCACAAAGCTGGTGGAGAACAACAGTGTGAATTTGACGAGTGAGGCTGGTTGAGACTAATTGAAACTATGGGATACCTGTACAGCACAGGGGTCATTTCAGGATGCTGATGGCAGAATCATTGTAAACCCAACATTACAAACGGGCTGGTTTTCAAACGAACTGCTGTCTGTACACTCATGTTTGTTGACATTACCCAACAACAACAGTTTTGGTCTATCTCAATCAGCAGATCTGTCCAACATGATCAGATTACTGCCACTGCATAGATTGAGAAGAATTAAAGGAGTTGTTGTTAGTCAACTTATTATCAACACTCTCTCTGTTTTCCTTGAAAGACCTCAACACAGCTCTGAAGAGCGTCAGAAAAGATTGTTCAAAGAAATGCAGAAACAACTGTGGCTCAAAGCCAGAAGAAAAGTGGGCGTCAGAGACGGTAAGGTTACAGACAGGCGTCTTACTCTCAGCAGGAGTTTTCTTATTTTTATCCCACTGAACTGGCCACAGCTTTTTTTCTACTCATCCTCACCATTTTACTGCTGCACATAAGAGCAGAAAAAGCTGGTTGCTGGGAAAAAGGAAAAAAAAATGAAATAAAAAAATAAGTACCAAAGACTGCAGAGAGCTCATAGTCATAGAAAATGTGTCAGACTTATGATTGGACATAAAACAAGGTAGACAGCAGGTGAGCTTTTCATAGCCAGACCTGGACCACACTGGACACTGGAGACTGAACCCACTGACACCTCTCACTGTGAGAAAGGAAATGATCTTCTTGTTGTCTGTCTTTTCTTGAACGCAACATTTAGATTGGCCTCAAGCCCAAAATGTAGCAATACTGCCTGCAAAAAGTTGCTAGTATTTACCTGTGGAGCGGTGAACCCAAGCTTTAAAATGGCAAAATCCATGCTAAAGGACTGTACTCAACATAAATCCTGTAAATCCTTAACAAATTCACTGTTTCCAAGACTTGGTCACCAGCTTGAAGTATTTGGAAGTTCGAACTCAAACAAGCAGTTAAGAAAAGGGCAACATAACTGACTGTTAGTAGCAGATAATTCATTGGATTCATGAATATGTCTCTGCAGAACCAGAGGCTGCAGTTTTAAGACTACAATTCTGGCACTGTCTTTCCATTTTTTTCCAAGTCTCTTGTGTTGTTGTGTCAGTCAGGTTCTGCTAAGGGTAACAGAAGCCCAAGTTACACACCAAAAAATGTGTTCCTTTGCCATGCAATGCATTTGGTGGTGTGGTCTCAGACTGCAAGCATCTTCAAATTGGGGGTCTGAGAAATGTCCCGCTTATCTCTTACCGTATCTTATTTCTTTGAAACAAGTTTAATTTTCTGTGTCCATTATACTTCTGAGTATTTAGTGAGAAAATATGGGCAACCACAATCTTTTCTGAATATAGCTGCAGATCCAGGTGCTTATGTGCATGTTTTTTGTTTGTTTGTTTGTTTGTTTTTTTCTTTTTTGTTTTTCCACCACATCCAAAAGATACATCTGAAAACCTGCACACTCTTTGTGCAAAGACCTTGTGCAGTGCTGTTTCAATGTTGGAGTTCCTGTGCATCTGTGTCTTGCAAGTCATAAGTCAATGCACTGCAGTACTTAAATCTTACAAGTGCATTTGTCTTATTACTGGTCATTATAAACCACATTATCATAACAGTCCAGATAAAAAAAAAAAAAAAATGCTGAATGACATGACAACTGATTATGATGGATAAAAACGGCTGCAATACAGCACTCAACATTGTCTTCATGACCTTGTTGAAACAAAATGTTATACTTAGTTCTATATACTGAACAGAAAATGTTGATGGCTGGATCTGCTGGCAGTGTTACTCACAAGCGAGACGGTCCCCATTTTTGGCTGGTGTAAATCATGACTGGATATTTTAAAGAAATACATTTGGTAAGATGTGGGTTTTAGGAAGAGTTGAAATCTTGCAATAACCCACATAAAAAAACTAATAATAATAATAATAAAAAATTATAAAAAATAAATAAATAAATAAAAACATTTTATGCCCAGAGTAGATGTAAAAAGTGTAAAAATGACCACATCATTATGATTGTATACACTCTCTGGTTACTCTGTAAGGGTACAAGCATGCTTAAACACTGGTTTCATGTTCGGACTCTGATTGACATTTTTGGTAGAATTTAAACATGTCAAAAACAATCATTGTCAAATGTCTTACACCACCTGATCATTTCACCATCGTTGTGACTTAAAATCCTGTGGTTGGTTGAGTCTGAGATTTTTGTGTCTTTGCAATGATTTTCTGCATATTAATTTCAGGCAAATGTTTGCTATGATCTTGGTCTGAATAAAACTTTGTATGCATGGTTTTCAACTTGTGAGCCAGACGAACATACAGGAGTGGAAGAAGTCTGAATGATGTAGTGACCTGCAACTGTTCATATTTAGGTCGTATCTCAATGTTCTATCCTCTCTTTGTTCTTTTCTACCTTTTTTTCTTTCCTTGTTATAAACCTTTCCTTTAAGAGAGATCTCCCTCCCTTCCTCTCTTCATTTCAGGGTTGTTTTTTCTCTCCACTCCCTCAAACCTCCCTCCTGTTCCCATCCTGCTTTGACCCTCGCACCTCAGTGTCCACCTGCTTTCATCACCATGGCTACAGGACAGCCCCTGTTTTATGTTGTCATGGTGACTAGGGTCAAGACTCAAGCCATATTTAACTAAGTGGAGATGGTTTAGGTAATTTTCAGGAGAGGCTGTAGAGAGGAAGATCTTCTTGGGCTGTTAATGGGATGAGCAATGATTAAAGCTTTGTAATGCTGCTAATCTGCTGCTTAATGAGTGCAAATGAAGAAATGCTGGGATGTTATCAGACTGATATGGCTGTGTACAGAACAGAAAGGAATAAGTAAAACTATAAATTTCCAGGGAGATTTTGATATGTGCCTGCCCGCTTGCTGATTCACTGCTGCTTGCCACTGATTTACTCACATTTAGGCCATGTTTTGGGTGGAGATACATGAGGGCATTACTGCGTTAAGGGCGACTTCCTGTTTGGGAATGGTGGGTACATCCAAGATGGGCGCCGGTGGGACATGTCTTCAGAGTGGGGTCACGAGGGGACGTGTCAAATATGGTGCTGATTAGGGGTGTGAATCTCAGCACTGAGGACGATTCGATACGCATCTCGATGCACTGCCAGTGATACGATACTTTAACAATACATGGAATTTTCTGGCGATACGATGCGATACGATTCACCCTCTTCATGATGCGATACGATACGATAATCATTTAATTCAAATCAATGCGATCCGATACAATATGATGCAATTTGTTGCGATATGATGCAATTCAACATGATGCAAATAAGCAAAGAAAAAAAAGATATAAAAATAAAAGATGGAATTCAGTATGGTACTACAAAAATGATTTGGCTTTATTCCTTAAAGGCACTTGGCAGTAAATTCAACAAAAGTGCTTTTTGTCTTTTTTCTATGCTCCTTTGGGTTCCATTTTGTACAGTTACACAGATTAGACAGACCTCCTGCAACTGTTAAGGAATCTGAATCAATAAAATCAAAAAAAAAAAAAAAAAAAAAAAAAAAGGATTCCAATCCCAACCCTACATCACACAAGTGCTCTATACTTGTTGGGTAATATTACAGTACACATTATTAAACAACTAATGCACTGCCTAACATGGTGCAAATAAACTATTCAGTGGCCATACTATTGTCTGCCAAACCAATGTGCTAGAGTTGACTTTCTAACTGGCCACTGAAAATCAGTGATTTGAGTGAGTTCTGCAATAATAAAAGAGTAAAACAATTACACAATAATTACTGCTGTAAAAAGTACAGTAAACAGCAACCACAAAACACTCTCAATGAGTAACCTAAAGTGACACTTTTAACAGTGCAATCAATGTTAAGGGAGGGGAGGTGTCGTTAGACTTGTCGGTGATGTGGTGTACTCTTTTTAAGTGGGTCTGCATGTTTGTCGTGCTGCCGTTGTTCGGCTTCTTAACGCGGCATTCTTTGCAAATGACGGACGTTTTGTCGAGCTTTCCGTCTTTCTTTGCAAATCCGTAGTGTTTCCAAACATATGATTTAAACGTAGCGGGTGCATTACATATAAACTCTTCCTCGCTGCTGCTCACTTGAACGTGGTCCGTGCTGTTTTACTAGTAGTGCATTGTATGTCCCTCACGGCTTCCGTCCGTATTCAATACAAAACGCGAAGTAATGATGGTGCATTCATTGCACCTGGGGAACAGCAGATGGGGTGAAGTTTAACATGAATAAAACGGCGCTTGCATCGGATTTTACCGATACACAATAATTACTGCTGTAAAAAGTACAGTAAACAGCAACCACAAAACACTCTCAATGAGTAACCTAAAGTGACACTTTTAACAGTGCAATCAATGTTAAGGGAGGGGAGGTGTCGTTAGACTTGTCGGTGATGTGGTGTACTCTTTTTAAGTGGGTCTGCATGTTTGTCATGCTGCCGTTGTTCGGCTTCTTAACGCGGCATTCTTTGCAAATGACGGACGTTTTGTCGAGCTTTCCGTCTTTCTTTGCAAATCCGTAGTGTTTCCAAACATATGATTTAAACGTAGCGGGTGCATTACATATAAACTCTTCCTCGCTGCTGCTCATTTGAACGTGGTCCGTGCTGTTTTACTAGTAGTGCATTGTATGTCCCTCACGGCTTCTGTCCGTATTCAATACAAAACGCGAAAAAATGATGGTGCATTCATTGCGCCTGGGGAACAGCAGATGGGGTGAAGTTTAACATGAATAAAACGGCGCTTGCATCGGATTTTACCGATACCGACCAACGCATCTAGATGAATCTAGATTTAACCCGTCAATTGCATCGATACCCAGTGAATGAGCCGACGCAGTTGCATCGCGCACATGCGCATCGATGCATCGATTAATTTAGATTATTTTCCACACCCTTAGTGCTGATATGTCAAAGTGTTGATGATTTAGGGCCTTTGTCATGAATCTGACTTGAAACTCAAGACAATCCGTCTGTTCCTGTGTTGTGTTGTCTGGCAGACAGCTGTCAATCAAGACCAGGTGGGCGCGCCCCCCTTGCTCTGAGTGGGAATCATCTCCATGGTAACAGTGCACCTGCAGCTCATCTGTGGCACAGACTTAAGGTCCTTGCACACCAGGACCGACGCAAATATACGACGTGAAATTACAAAATATTCAGAGGTGAATTTTGACGTGCCTGACTATAAACATCAAGCCTGATGCAATGTTGAGATGGCTGTCTGTCATGATGGCATGTATTTAGTCGGGGCCAGTACCAGATAAGCACATTAAACTATAATTCATGCACATAAGGTAACAACTGAGACCTAATGGTGCTGTGACAGCAATGCGATTGAGTTTGAGACAGTCAACATACATAAGGTATGTTGTATCTGAACAGGTTGGATGTTTAGCACAGAGGAAGTTAAAACAAAGACGTTTAGCAAACTGTTAAAGCACACAAACTATCGTCATGAGAGATCTGACGCCATGACTCTCTACAAGTTGTCCTTCAGGTCTTAACTTAACTTAAGAAAAATTGACCGTGATGCGAAAAAATAAATGCCGCAATATTGCAGGACAGGAAAACGTCGCTGATGTGAATGCTTGTATTGACAGAATACGGGTTCGGAAAAAAATATTGACGTCCGTAATAATCGCACGAAAAAAAACGGTGCCAGAGTGAAAGGACCTTTAGCCTCACTGAGCCTCTGCCTGCTTAAAACTGGACTGGCCGAAACAAATTCACTTTGTAAGAAAACCGTACGAGAAATTGAAATGTGGTTTTTGCAGGTTGAAGGGTTCAGGTCTCAACTAAAGGTCAGAGTTCAAATCACATTTCTACCTTAAAGTATGACATCACAATCAAGCTCTAAATATGGAGACCAACCCATGTTTTCAGCAGCTCCATTCACTTTGAATAGGAATCTTAATATGTCTGAGTGCCGTCAAAAGGCTTGTTGCTGACAAACTACATGTCGTATGGGAAAAAAAAAATCTGGACTGTGAGTGACTGCTCGAATACAGCTACGATAGATAGATAGATAGATAGATACAATATAGACTAAAAATACTAAGTATATACAATAAATACAGACTAATGTACTAAACATCCTAAGAGATAAAAGTGGGATATGAAGAACGTGGGCTATTGAAATGAGTAATAAATATGAAATGCGAAATATTATAGATGGGGTGATGGATATACAGACAATTTAAGGTACTCAGTAATGTGATGTGGTAGGAGTTTTTTTATAAAAAAAGAACTATACAGCAGACAGATGTGAGTCCCTGTCTGACAGATGAAAGTTATTAAATAGTGCATTAGCTTGTGGCAGGAACGATTTCCTGTATTAGTGGAGCAGACAAATGCATAATATAGCCCGAATTGTTCACTTTGTTATACAAGCATGACATTTGGTACATATACTCTTCAAACCCCACTCTTTTCAAAAATAACGTTAGCCACACAAAATTCCAAGATGGCGGCCCCAAAATCCAAGATGTCGCCCCAAAAATGTGGTTTTTCCTTTATAACTCAAAATGACTGATTTTAAGCCCCATACATATATTGAAGTTGAATATAAAGTTGGGTATTGCGGACATTTCGGTACCTAGTACATTTCTGTATCCATTACGGTTCTTGAGATACAGCATATAGATACAGATATAGAATTGGGAGAGTGAGAAATTTGTAACACCGATTGTTGTTACGTGCATATGGTTGTATGAAAATATCATTTCCATTATCTGTTATTTTCATGAGGGTTATAACATTAAATATGAAAAACAAGATGGTGTCCAAGATGGCTGCCATTGCCTTGAAGTAGTTTGTTCAGTATCCTCCTCTCCACCACAGCCTCCACAGTGTCCTGTTTGCAGCCAATCACAGAGCCAGCCTTCCTGATTAGTTTGTTGAGTCTGTTGGTGTCACTGGCTCTGATGCTGCCCCCCAACAAACCACAGCAAAGAAAAGTACGCTGGCCACCACAGACTGATAGAACATCTCCAACATCTTGCTGCACACATTGAAGGATCTCAGCTTTCTCAGGAAGTAGAGTCTGCTCATCCCCTTCTTGTAGACAGCATCGGTGTTGGATTTCCAGTCCAGTCTGTTGTTGACATAGACGCCCAGGTACTTGTAGACCTCCACCTCCTTCACATCTTCTCCCAGGATGCACAGCGGCTGTGAAGCCGTCCTCTTCTTCCTAAAGTCGATGACCATCTCTCTGGTCTTGGTGACATTCAGCCTCAGGTGATTGCGTCCAGCCCACTCCACGAAGTTATCCACCACTGCTCTGTACTCCCCATCCCTTCTCCCGCTTATACACCCAACAACAGCCGAGTCATCAGAAAATTTCTGCAGGTGGCATGACTCGGAGTTGTACTGAAAGCCAGTGGTGTACAAGGTGAAAAGGAAGGGGGACAGCACAGTCCCCTGTGGAGCTCCTGCATCACTGACCACCACATCAGACAGAACACTGCCCAGACGGACAAACTGTGGCCTGTCCGTCAGGTAGTCGGTGATCCAGGAGACAATGGAGGTGTCAACACCCATCACCCGCAGCTTCTCACCCAGTTGCAGTGGCTGTATGGTGTTGAAACCACTGGAGAAATCAAAGAAGGTGATTCTCACAGTGCTGCCACCACCATCCAGATGCAGATGAGCTCATTGCAGCAGGTAGATGACAGCATCGTCAACTCCCAAATGGGGCTGGTAGGCAAACTGTAGAGGGTCTAAGAGCTCCTTCACCTGCGGACTCAGGTGGGACAAAACCAACCTCTCCAGCACCTTCATCAGATGGGAAGTGAGAGCAACTGGTCGGTAGTCATCGAGGTCAGATGGAGTCGACTTCTTTGGGACAGGAACGAGACAGGACATCTTCCACAGCACTGGGACTCTCTCTTGACTCAGGCTCAGGTTTTAGAGGTGTTGGATGATAGCAGACAGCTGGTTGGCGCAGGTCCTCAGGATCTTAGGGCTGATGCCATCAGGTCCTGCTGCCTTCCTCTGGTGGAGCCTCTCCAGCTGTCTCCTAACCTGGCCCGTGGTCACGGTCGTGTGTGTGTGTGTATGTGTGTGGGGTGTGTGTGTGTGTGTGTGTGTGTGTGTGTGTGTGTGTGGGGGGGGGGGGGGCTGATGTCTCCAGGGGGAGGGTTGCTGCACAGGATTGCTCACCACAGGGGACAGAGGGGGGAGGGGTTGATGTGGTGAGGGAGTGTGGGGGACTGGATGTATGAGGGAGACAGACGGCTGTGAGCTGAACCTATTAAAGAAAGTGTTTAGCTTGTTGGCTCTCTCCAGGCTGCCTGATGGTTGCCTTTGTTTCCCTTTACATCCTGTGATGTGCTTCATCCCATGATCCATGGCTTATTGTTGGGGAAGCAGCGTACAGCCCGGTTTGGGATGGTGGAGTTTTCACAGAACCTGATATATTCTGTGATGCAGTCTGTCATGCTGTTGATGTCCTCCCCGTGTGGCTCACAGAGTACATCCCAGTCCGTTGATTCGAAGCAGTCCTGCAGTGCCTCAGCAGCCTCCTCAGTCCACCTCCTCACCGTCATGGTGTAAACAGGCTGCCTCTTAACAATGGGGACATACTTGGGTGTTAACAGGACCGGGTTGTGAACTGGCTCTGATGCTGCTCCCCCAACAAACCACGGCTAAGAAAAGTACACTGGCCACCACAGACTGGTAGAACATCTCCAACAAATATTAGAAGGACAGGTTGCTAAGCTTTACGGTTTAGACAGGATGCGAGTTGTTCAGAGAAAATGAGCAACAGTCGGATGTGGAGCATTTGTGTTCTTTTTGAATGGCAGTGGATGGAGGGCAACAGGTACCTCCTCCTGAACAAAACCTTGCACTTTGAAAAGTGAGCAACTCACAGCTTCAAGGTCCACATTTTCCAGCTGGTAGATTTCCTACGTTTTGATGTACAATTTGTGTGTGTCGAGTGAAAATTGTGGCCGTGGCAACAATTTAGAAAATAAAAATTGGGATTACACGTTCACTTATCTTCACTCTGAAATGATGATCACTCTAAAAAACAGAAAATCCTTGTTTGCACCCCTGGCTTGAACAGTTACTGTGGCCATACCGTATCAGATATCAATGGGCTGTCTAGACTTTTTAAATCACAGGTCTGGTGTCAATGTTTTGATGTTTTAATTACACTTCTATGTCAAAGTGTGGCGAAAGTGCGAAGTGTCAAAGTCATGCGAAAAATAGATTATTTTCTCATCCTCTCCCATTCGCTAACTTGGGGAAATTTTCACTGCTTTTGGCGTCTGGTGTCACCATGGAAACAGTAATGATAGAGAAAAGTAATACCCACTGTTGCATGATGGAGACGCATGTTTTGCCATGCCATGCCTGGATGCACCTTACTGCTCGAGCAGCATTAATTGCCGAAGGTGCATCTATAATAATAAAAAAACAAACCTGCCATCTAGAATACTAGTATACGCCTTGGCACGCAATACACACTAATAGGGAATTTTGGGGGGCATTTTTTTGTTTTTTCATTCACAATACATGTAAGTATGGTTTTTCAATTGTTCTGACATTATCTTAGAAATTATTTGATTGTTGGTTGTTGGGGGGGCACCAACTTAGAGGGACGACGAACAGCAACAGCAAAAGGGAAAGAGTGGAGAAGCGTGGATAAAGATAAATTTTTGGCATTTTTGGGTTTGACCCTCCTTGCGGGGGGGGGGGGGGGGGGGCGGACAAGAGGACCATTTTTGACCCATGTGTGTAAACTTGATGTAATAATATAGAAACTATTTTAGTTCATAAAGTATGAAAAGAAAAATAGAAATAATGATCAGTGGTGATCAAAAACAAGATATTTAAAGAATACTTGGACTATTCAATCAGAAAATAAACTGATTTCAAAAGATAGAACGAAGAAAAACAGCCAGCATGAAATACCATTGGAAATGAATGCGGGTCTTTTTAGACCCATGTTGCGCATTAGAGGGGGTGTGCATATGTTGTGCATCAAAGGGTTTTAATGCCTGATCTGGTTATCTGGGGATGTATTGAAACAACACCATGCCCCTACAATTTGATTCCTACAGACACGGCTTTAAATGTGTAAGACATCAGCATCAAGAAGGTAGATTAAGCACATATTTAACCATGATAGCCAGCATAACTCCTGGTACAAGTTAGCAAAGAGCAGTTTGTACAATTCAAGAAAAAATATGTTATGTACACTGAAGCTCATTTGAGCTGAAAAGAGGTGAAAAGAGGCATTTTTGCTTCAAAGGAATGCTAATGTTTGTTGATCAGGGATGGCTGGTATATGAGGGTGCTGCGGGCGGAGCCCCTCCTCAGTTGCATGAGCCAGTTTGAGCAAAACGAGATGTCTGCTGTCTACCTGAAAATTATTATCAAAATAAGAAAATTGTGCTGTCATATTAATCATTGCATTTAATGTGTATTTCAGTCCGTTAGTGATCTCTCCACCCAGTGTCGGGACGGAATCAGAACATCTGTTGTGTCACGCATGTTGTGCATTAACGTTAGGGGTGCCAAGGGCCTGCACCCAAGCTTTCTGTGCTCTTATGCATGCTCAGATCAGAGTCCTGCATTAAAAATTTAGCTTATCTTACCCTACGCCAGGGACCAGTGCCCAAGCGTCCCAAATTTTTTATGTTTGCATTGTTTTGCATTTATGTACAGCACTTTATTTAGCTATGGTTGTTTTAAAGTGCTTTACAAATTAAGTTGAGTTGAGTAATTTGAATGACGTAACCATGCTCATGACCAGATTGGTCACAAACGGTCGCATAGCTACGATATGGGTCTGATGCAGCTAGCTGCTCTACTGGGAGCCGGTTCGCCCCTCACTCTGCACTTATCTGCTAATGACAGAAGACATGGGAATAACTACCCTACAAATCCCCTACCGAGTGATTTACTGGAGAACACTGTGCTGTCCATCAAGCAGGTCCCATTTGAGAGGAGAACTCCGCAAGACAAACTAAAGCAGAAAGAGCTTGGTCCGGATTGACCAGGTGTCGCTGCTCAGCAAGTGACCACAGAGAAGGGGAAAAAATATATGCAGACATTCTCAGGAGCATGATATGTGCACAAACCATAGCTAATTGCATGTCCAAAGAGTATGGCCCTTTTTTGTTTCTTGATATGCAGCCTGATTAGTTATAAATGTGGGTCTGCTCTTTCCTATTTTTCTGTTGTTGTTTTTGTGTGCACCTTTGCTATACCCTAACCTGTTGAAATGCAGGTGAATGTACAGGAGTATGCTACTGTCAGTTTCTATATCATAGGATAACATTGAATGTAAGTCGGCTATGTGTCGACTATAATGCCCTGTTAATACATTAAAATACAGTTTCCCCACCCCATTTTCTTTGTAGGTCAAGATCATATGTTTCCTTAATTCTTTTCCTAGAATGCACCAGAATGCTTCATTTGGTGAAAACCAAAATAAATAAATAAAAAAAAAAAAAAAAAAAAAAATCCCCACCCCTCTACAGGGCTCTGGTTTCTAAACCTTCAGCCCCACCTACTATTTTTCTCACCAGCTCCCCCTGTTGTTGATGTCTCTGCAAAGATGCTGGTGCACAGTGATACTGTTTGCTCTGCAGCACAGTTTGATTACACAGTTTACATGTAACTGTTTTAACATGCCCATAATTCAGACAATAGCTGTGTTTACATGGGCACAAATAATCAGAATAAAGACCTGATCAGAATAAAATTGTGTCATGTAAACATGTTGATCAGAAAATTCTAATCCAATGTGGCTCAATTGGAAAGAAATCGTATTCCTAACGAGAGGGGTGGTTTATGCCGATTGTTATTCTGAAACGCATCCATGTAAACACTTATTACGATCGTGACTCTCTGTTGGGGCAAAACTAACCAGACTGCACGTGTGCCCTACATCAACGTGACGCATTTCTGCAGTTAGATCCCGCCATGTTTACATCTTGTCAGTAAGAGCAATTTGTCTGTGTCTGATGCAACTTTCTTGCTGGATACAGTCTCCTCATGTAACGCAGGGTCATTATGTGCTGCTGGGCCCACTTGATGACCATGTACACTAGGAGCAATACAATCGCTCTCAGAACCTGGCTCAAGTCCATTCTGAGTGGAGGGTGTAAAGCACTGGAGTGCCCAGCTGTCTTATCGTAGATGGAGAGTAAGCAAAGCTTGAGTTGGTCGTCACTCTTTAGACTTTGACTTATTCATTGAGGCCAGTACAGAAGGTTTTGTTATCAAAATCTGGTATAAAACACAACCACAGGTGCTGTGCCTGCTGCTCCGATAACATAAAAAGGCATACATACAGCGTAATGATGTCACATCTGCATGCACAGTGCAACCTTTGACTGAACAGTAAAATAAGCAAACAAGGGGGTCATCTAGTAACAACATTTAACAGGGGGAAAATCCTGAATCGGATGAAGTAAATCACTACTGCGTTTGTTGGTTTGTTGACAGCACAGGCGTCAATACAACTCCTCTTCTGCCATTGTTTTAGCGAAATTAGAAAACTCTGCACATGTCCAAATGCTTCTAATCCGCATAGAGCTTGGTGCGTGTAAACGCACGTCATGATCAGATCATTTGATTTTGCGCCCTTATAAACAGTCCATTCACATTTTTCTATCCCTCAAATTTTTAATTGGATCAAGAAATTTTGCACATGTAAACATGGATAATGTCTTTTTGTCTCATTTCAAAAGGGTCAAAGAGGATAGCCATTCAAGCCTTCTGTAAATCAGGCCCTCAGTCTGCTTTCTTTAACCTTGTAGATCCAAGTTCTCCCTATTACTCATAGATCTCCTTAATACATTGCAATCTTATGCGACAAAAGTCTCCTGTCTTCCTCTCAAGGGATTTTCCTGCTGTCAGAGTTGTACCACAATATCACAGTAGAGCTTTTGGAGCTCTACATCTTTTTATCTATTTAACAAAAATAAATAAATGAATCTCAAATTCTTTGGTAAGTGGTCAAACTACAAGAATTTGGATAGTTTTAGATAAAAAGGTTTCTGTAAATGTGTTCGGACATGTTTTTTATTATCTGTCTTTTGATATACCCAGTAACAAAAAACTCCTAACCCAATTTCTCTTTCTAAATGCAGTAGAGCAGGGGGACAAAATATGGACCCCTGACTCTGTAAAAAAAAAAAAAAAAAAAGTTGTATCCCAGAGAAAAATGAAGGGGTTGTGGTGAGTTTATAAAGGAGATGAAGCAGATGGCTGCTTTTGAGGCAGCTGAGTTTCGTAACTTTGAAGGAGAACAGAGTTGTAGAGGTAACTTCTTGAAATAAATGTGGGTGGAATTGGATTTTAATGGCAAGTGAACTGAGTTGGAGAGTAATATCAACATACACTAATTTACTTACACTAATTAAAATGAGGAGTTTTTCCCAAAAAACTCTTCTCCGCTGTCAGTGGAAAGGTTTTGTAGTATTAAACCTTAAAGCAAACCACTGACCATTGTGAGTCGATGGCATTGAAAAACACAATTTTTTTCCCCCTGCTCCTCAAAGAGAGATGCACAGAGTGGGAGCTTTTTGTGTGAGTCACAGACTTGCTGTGATCAAAAAAGTGTCTTTAGAGTTGCCACTATACTTCTCTATTTACCCAATTTAATGATATCTAAAAAAAATAAAAATAAAAGGTTTTTTTGACACTCCTAAACTTTGTTACATAATCCACGAGAGACAAAGCGCAATATAAGACCTTTATTTATCCAAATAGTGAATTCATCAAGTCACTACAAATAAAAATCTTCACCAGAGGCCTGATAATTGTATCTCTTTTTGCCAGGGATACTGGTGTTGGCCCTTACATTAGCATTGCTGGGTGAAGCAGCACTAAAAGTGATCTAAGTGAGACGGTCTAAAAAGAAAATACTCAGAACAAATTTCCTGTGTCAAATGTGAAAGAATGAGTGAATCTTCAGACCCTCAGGCAGCACTGTACTAGAAACAGAAAGGATTCTTGAGTGGAAATCACTGCATGGACTCAAAATCTATATTTTGTTTAACCGTTTACAGGCCACCCAAAAAAAATGCTCTGCTTTTATCAGTGATATTCAGAACTTTTATCAATCATTTATTCAAAGAACAACAAAATCATTATTGTAGAGGATTTGAAAATTCACGTTGGGAATCCATCAGACTCTTTTAGCTCTGAATATTTAAATCTTATTAAATTTATGAATTTTAAGCAGCATGTATCAAGCTCCACCCAAAACAGAGGAAATATATTGGATCTTTTAATAACCTTTGGGTTATCAGCCCCTGTGTCCTCTGTTGTGGATGTGGGCTTGTCCGACCATCACTGTGTGTTTTTTAACGTAATGGATTTTATCCAGCAGGAGGTCCCAGAGCGTACTGTCAGGAAACGCTATCTTACTTCTGAAATGGCTGCTAATTTTAGTGAGATTTTAACTGATGCTCAAAAGGCTGTTTTACCCTCTGCTTGTGATTTTATTGTTGATCATTTAAACCAGAAACTTAAGTCAGCAATAGATGTTGTTGCACCATTAAAGGTAAAAAAGAAGGAAAAACCCATTACAAGTGCATTATCAGATTTTTCAGGAACAAATCCCCACTTACAACAGAGCAGTAAAACAAGCAAGACAGGACCACTTTTTAAAATTAATAGCTGACCATCGCAATAACCCCCAAATCCTTTTCTCAACCATTGACCAATTAACAAGTCCTGTTTTTAAGCAACCTTTTAATTCAAATTTATTCTGTGAAGACCTTGCAGTCCACTTCAGAATTAAAATTGACGTTTTCAGGTCAAACTTTTTAAACAGGAAGCCTGATGATTTTAGCTATTCTGAGTCTTTGTTTTTAAATGGGGAAACACTGGACAGGTTTGCCCTGGTTGATGCTGCAGAGATTGAGGAGGTTGTCTCCCATTTTAGACCAGTGACTTGTGTTTTAGATCCTATCCCCACATCCCTTTTTAAGACCTCTTTTAGTGTTTTTAAGGATGACATTATTAGTATTGTAAACTATTCTGTTCAGACAGGGGTCTTTCCCACTGCCTTCAAGACAGCCTGTGTCAGACCCCTTCTGAAGAGAAACAACTTTGATACAGCGGTACCTGATAATTACAGACCTGTGTCCAACCTGCCCTTTTTAAGCAAAGTTTTAGAAAAGATTGTTTTTAACCAGTTAAATGATTTTATGATTTCTAAAAATATTTGTGACATATTTCAGTCTGGTTTTCGGAAAAATCACAGTACACTGGTCAAGATTGTAAGTGACCTCAGGTCCGACATGGATGAAAGATTAATTTCTGTTTTAGTCCTGTTGGACCTGAGTGCAGCTTTTGACACGGTAGATCATACAATTCTTTTAAACAGACTCCAAAACTACATTGGCATCTCTGGTACTGTTTTTAGCTGGTTTAAAACATATCTGAATGGCAGGAAATTTTACGTTAGCACTGGGAAACGCTCATCAAGAACCTATTAAATGGAGTGTGGCGTTCCCCAGGGCTCAATTTTTGGCCCCACACTTTTTAATCTATATATGTTACCATTAGGAGATGTCATCAGAAGACACAGCATTAACTTTCACAGCTATGCTGATGATACACAGCTTTACCTGGCCGTGTCTCCTGATGACACAGGGCCCATTGATGCCCTTTTTAACTGTATTTTAGACGTCCAGTCCTGGATGGCAGACAACTTCTTGCAGCTCAACCAGGACAAAACCCAGGTTTTAGTCATCGGTGCAGGTCCAAAGAGAGAGAAACTGGAGAACAAACTGTCTTTTAATCCCTCAAAACAAGTTAAAAATCTGGGTGTTACATTTGATTTTAATCTCAGCTTTGAATTACACAAGTGATGTCACCAAAAAGGCTTTTTATCACCTTAAGAACATCTCCAGAGTCCGCCAGTTTCTCTCTCAAGCCAATTCAGAGACTCTTATCAATGCTTTTATTGCCTGCAGAATTGATTATTGCAGTGCCCTCCTCTCTGGATTTCCTAAAAAGAACATTTCACAGCTTCAGCTGCTGCAAAATTCGGCTGCACGCACGCTGACGAAGACCAGGAGGAGAGCCCACATTACACCAATTTTAAAGTCTCTGCATTGGCTTCCTGTATCTTTTAGAATAGATTTTAAGGTTCTTTTATTAGTTTATAAATGTCTTGGTCCTTCTTATTTATCTGATTTCCTTTTATGATATGAGCCCAGTAGAGCCCTCAGGTCTTTAGGTAGTGGTCTTTTAATAGTCCCCAAAGTTAGAACCAAAACATACGGTGAGGCATCATTTTATTATTATGGCCCCCGTCTGTGGAACAGTCCGTCTGAAGACCTGAGAGCAGCACCTTCAGTTCATATTTTGAAACGCAAACTCAAGACCTTCGTTTTTAGTCTGGCCTTTAGCTGATTTTTGTTTTATTCCTCTAGCCTCTTTAGTTTACTCCAGTCCTAGAATTATTCTTATATTTTAACACTATTTTTGTATTTTCTTTTATTGTTTTATTTTAAAAGTTTTATTATTATTATTATTATTATTATTATTGTTGTTGTTTTATTTAATTTTATTTTTTATATCTTGTCATGGTTTTATCAGTTTAGCTTCAGCTCCAGTGTTTCCCCATTTTAGTTTAAGATAGCATTTCCTTGGTCCTCTGTGGCTTTCTGTTGAGCCCTGACTTGGTTGTGAGTGTGTGTGTGTGTGTGTGTGTGTGTGTGTGTGTGTGTGTGTGTGTGTGTGTGTGTGTGTGTGCTGGGTGGGTGGGTGGGTGGGGGTCTCTGTTAAATGCGGGCTTGGAGGATGGGTGGGTGGGTTTTTGCAGTTTGTGTTTTATTTTGTATTCCCTGATCCTCCCTTTCTTGTGTACAGCAAGTTTATGTATGAAAAGTGCTTTATAAATAAAGTGATTGATTGATTGATTGAAAATCACTTCCGAAAAACATTATCTGAACACACTTCATCACTGCATCCACAGATGAGGTTAAAACCGAACCATGCAAAGAGAAAACCAGATAGGAACATGATCCAGAAACACCAGAGACTTCTCTGGACCTGAGTCCATTTAAGGTAGACTGGAGAAGAGGAAGACTGTCCTGTGGTCTGATTAATCAAAATCTGATTTTCTCTTTGGAAATCATGGGTGCTCCATCCTTTGCCAAGAAGCTGCCCAGTTTGTTCTAAGCTGCCAGTTCAAAGCCAGCATCCCTGATGGTCTGGGGATCATCAAAGTCCATGTCATGGGTAGCTTCCACATCTGTGAAGGCTCCATTAATGCTAAATGATATCTGCAGGTTAAGGAGCAACATCTACTGCCATCCAGACAAAGACTTTTTCAGGGAAGACCTTCATATTTTAGCAAGACAATGACAAACCACATTCTGACGACAGGGATTACAACGGCATGGCTCTGTAGTCGAAGAGTCCTGCTGAGAAACTGGACTGATGTAGTCCTGACTTGTCCCCCATTGAAAACATTTGAAGCATCAGGACACCAAAAACCGGACAAATGAGACCCTGAACTTTTGAGCAGCTGAATTCCTCTATCAGGCCAAAATGGGACAATACACTCACCGGCCACTTTATTAGGTACACCATGCTAGTAACGGGTTGGACCCCCTTTTGCCTTCAGAACTGCCTCAATTCTTCGTGGCATAGATTCAACAAGGTGCTGGAAGCATTCCTCACAGAGCTTGGTCCATATTGACATGATGGCATCACACAGTTGCCGCAGATTTGTCGGCTGCACATCCATGATGCGAATCTCCCGTTCCACCACATCCCAAAGATGCTCTATTGGATTGAGATCTGGTGACTGTGGAGGCCATTTGAGTACAGTGAACTCATTGTCATGTTCAAGAAACCAGTCTGAGATGATTCCAGCTTTATGACATGGCGCATTATCCTGCTGAAAGTAGCCATCAGAAGTTGGGTACATTGTGGTCATAAAGGGATGGACATGGTCAGCAACAATACTCAGGTAGGCTGTGGCGTTGCAACGATGCTCAATTGGTACCAAGGGGCCCAAAGAGTGCCAAGAAAATATTCCCCACACCATGACACCACCACCACCAGCCTGAACCGTTGATACAAGGCAGGATGGATCCATGCTTTCATGTTGTTGACGCCAAATTCTGACCCTACCATCCGAATGTCGCAGCAGAAATCGAGACTCATCCGACCAGGCAACGTTTTTCTAATCTTCTATTGTCCAATTTCGATGAGCTTGTGCAAATTGTAGCCTCAGTTTCCTGTTCTTAGCTGAAAGGAGTGGCACCCGGCGTGGTCTTCTGCTGCTGTAGCCCATCTGCCTCAAAGTTCGACGTACTGTGCGTTCAGAGATGCTCTTCTGCCTACCTTGGTTGTAACGGGTGGTTATTTGAGTCACTGTTGCCTTGCTATCAGCTCGAACCAGTCTGGCCATTCTCCTCTGACCTCTGGCATCAACAAGGCATTTCTGCCCACAGAACTGCCGCTCACTGGATATTTTTTCTTTTTCGGACCATTCTCTGTAAACCCTAGAGATGGTTGTGCGTGAAAATCCCAGTAGATCAGCAGTTTCTGAAATACTCAGACCAGCCCTTCTGGCACCAACAACCATGCCACGTTCAAAGTCACTCAAATCACCTTTCTTCCCCATACTGATGCTCGGTTTGAACTGCAGGAGCTTGTCTTGACCATGTCTACATGCCTAAATGCACTAAGTTGCCGCCATGTGATTGGCTGATTAGAAATTAAGTGTTAACGAGCAGTTGGACAGGTGTACCTAATAAAGTGGCCGGTGAGTGTATTTTACTTTCATACTTTAGAACCTGGTCTGTTGGGTTCACTAAGATCTACGGATGATGGATTTGGACAGATTTTTTTATTTGACCTGAGTGCTATTAATGGATTTTGACGGATTTTTCTGTTTTCCACCAGAGGGCGCTCCTCCCTAACATGCAACTTAGTTTGGGGTCATTTAGAATGCAGAAAAGCTGACAAATAAGTCATAACCATGTAACAATAAAAACAACAACAACAAAAAAACACAAGTGCTCGCAAGCGAGAAGTGTGCCATTTAGCCTAGTTGTGGAGTGTTTTTTTCTCCATGAGGAGAGTAGGAAAATGCCAAAGTCATTAGTCAAGGTCTCGGTGCATCGGCTCCCGTTGGTGCGGTGCCACCAGCTCTGGATTCAGTGCAGATCCCGGTACTGGACCTTCACATTGTAAGTAGACAATCAAATAAACTATTTTCTGGCATGTCGTTGTGCCGCCGTTGATGGTACTGGTAAATTTGAGCCGGAATTCAGTCCCAGCGAGTAGGACACAAACAGTCTGCAGTCAAGCGCTTTGGGTATCTTGAAAGGCGCTATACAAATGTAAGATATTATTATTTATTATTGCATGGTTTACTTCGTGGCGTCAGGTTCTTAAGAGCCAATACAACTCCCAGCCGTCACAAAGTGACCTATCACAATTGGATCTCGAAAGGGATGAGGAGTGGTGTCTGAGGAGGAAGGACCTTGATGCCAATGAAATACAATCAGGGTTCTGCTCGAAAGTCTCTCCTTTGTGAAAATGTGTTTTTCCAAGGTTTCTTTTTTCAGAAGGCTAAAGATGATATGACCACACTGCATTGAGCAGACAATAACTAAACACAGGAGTGGGTTAGAGACTTACTTTTTCTGGTGAAAGAAGAGAATCACCCCTTTGAGATATTTATAGTCCAAAAACAAGATATTCTGAGGGTCCTGATATTTATGAAAATTTCTATTGCAGTCAATAGTGGCAGTGGGTGAAAATTGCATAAATAAACCTGGCACTGAATAAGTTAAAGAAGAGCTGAGGACACATGATAAAAAACATGAATCCGAAACTAATAGTTTGAAACCTGTTGCTGGTATTGAATTTAACCCTTAATATGTTTGTGATGGGAGGCCCAGGTCATACACACACAGACGCACACACACGCACTTAAAATAACCTAATTGGTAAACAGTATTGTTTAGGGGTACATTAGTTGAGGTATATGTTGGCGTTGGAGAGGGGGGAAATTGAGTTGGGGATTTTGGATTTATTACTGTAACTTAATTTGGATCGGCCAGTCAATTTATTCATCATCTTCATTCTTTTCCAGTTAATAATGCTTATTTATTATTACATTTTGATCAATAGAGTTTATAGTTATAGTATGCTAAAGGGGGATTGATTTATGGGGAAGTGTGGGAGAACAAAGGACTTGTCAGTAGCGCTGCACAATATGCATCGTTTGAGCATTGTCATTGCGATGTACGTGTGAACGTTAGTCACATTGCAGAGCCTGGAATGTAGGAGGCGAATGAACTCATCTGATTTCAAGGATTGCTGACTGAGATACACTGCATGTGACTCTGCATGTGCTGTGCTGAGGGGGCCGAACCATCTTTTGAAGAACACCTTCCTCTTCTTTTTTGTCTTGGTAACCCTGACAGAGCTTGGCAGAATATTTAGGGTTATTGTTTTGCTGAAAAACAAACTTAGGACCCACAAGTCTGAGTCCAGATGGAACAGCATGGTGCTGGAGGATGGAGTGGTACTGTTCCTTCTTCATGATACCCTTTACTTCAAACAAATCTCCTACTCCATCACCTGCAAAACATCCCCATACCATGGCGCTACCACCTCTATGCTGAATTGTGGGTGTAACACATGGTGCTTGCAGACGTTCACCAGTTTGTCTGCAGACATAGACTCTGCGTTTTGAACCAAGCAGTGCAAACTTGTTTCTAGTCATCATAAGTCCAATTTTTGTGAGCTTTTGCCCACTCATATCTCTTTTTCTTGCTCTGTGGACGAAGTAGTGTTTTTTGCAGATACACAACCCTTCAGAACAGCCTTTCTCAAATGTCTTTTCACAGTTGTCAGAGAGATGGGTTTCGACCGTGTCATGTTGATTTCCTCCCTTATTTTTGGTGCTGTCTTTTGCCGATCTCTCTTATTGGTGACAATGCTATGTTTATCCTCTGCTTTTGTAGTAACTCTCTTTCATTTCGGCCTTTTTCTATCATCATAACTTCCAGGTTCCTCTTGTCTCTTCAGAGTGTAGTGGACTCCTTTGTTAAACACTTTTAGGCGTTTTGCAATTTCTCTTTCTGTGTATCCTTCTTTCCTCAATGTACAAGTCTGTACTTTTGTTTCTTTACTCAGTTGCTTCTTTCTAGCCATTTTTGTGGTAGTTTGAACGCAGTTGAGATTTATTAGGATTTTTGTATGCAGACTCTCAAAAGCCAAAAAGTTGAAGTGAATAATCTAACTGTGATTTGTTTTTTTCCCTTATTTTTTGCTGACATATGTATATAGCAATGGTCTGTTAACATCAATATATATCTAAAGGTAAATGGAATAAAATGGTGCATTTCTATGAAAGCAGCATCTGATCATGGAGTAAATACATCCCAAAATACATAAAACTCATGCTGGATTTTAAAATAAGCATTGTGAACAAAAACTTGAAGTTACTCCCAACTGTTCAGCCTGTAATGGCCTTGCTTCCAAACTTTTGGCCTGTAGTGTACATCAGATGTACATACAGCCAGGAGGTGAGTTTTCCCAACCTAAAATAGAGGCAGAAGGGGAGTAATTTCTAAACATGACGTGCTCTGTGTTGTAGAGTTGAAGTTGCGTGCCCTGTTTCAAACATACTCTGACAGTCCAGCTTCATATCTGTCTGACAGTTGGCTTCCTCCACCTACTCTCATGATCAAGTTAACCACATACTACCAGTGATCCTGACATGAGAATTACAGCCTTAATTCAGTGCCACAAAGAGCCTGTGCTGAGCGACTGTGACCAAGTGTAGCTACCGCCAATCAGTGTGGGTGGTGACGTATATATGGAACAGACACACTGAATGGTGCAGAGACCAGTTGACAGTAATGGAAAGAAAAGTTTACAGCACTGGGTGCAGAGTCTGGATGATGAGTATTACAGAGAAATACTGCTGCACATTATGTCTGCACATAAAAACATTTACAGACAAAAAACCCTAAATTTTCAATTTGATGATTTAGGATTTTTACATCTTCTGTTTATTCCCCCTGACTGTGCCCATTCAGCTACCCAGGACGCATTTCTCTCATTAAGCCTGCTTTCTGATAAATGCTAATTAAGAATGCAACTGAGGGGAAAGTGGAGTGTAATTGAGGTACAATTACAAAAGACTTAATTCATTTAAAACTGCTGCTAATGAAATCAGTGAATTGTAGTGCATGCTGGCCTTATAGCAGAATATGAAGTATATTTCTTTTTCTCTTTGTCTTTTATTTTTCTTTTTTTTTTTCTCCTATTTTTAAGAAATGTCTTTTTCTCACAGGACTTTTGTTGCTCCTTTGTGTCCAATCTTCTGTGGTGTGTCAGTCAAACACTCATTTTTGTTCTCTAGAGCTCTTCCTTTCAATCTTTTGCATAGCTCATGAATACACCTTTGTCGCCAAATGGCTCTTAGTGTCTTCTCAAATTCCTTGGGTTTAACCCCATTTGTGATTTCTAATGATTGTCATTCTAAATATCAGCAATTAGTTTCTTATTAGGACTCTAAAAGCAGAGCAAGGACTTAATTGGAATGTGTTTCTTTTTCTTACCAAAAAATATACAAAAAAGCAACTTAGATGGTTTTAGTAAACCCCATATCTGGTGAATGCTTTAGGCTTTGTTAAATGTGATATTTTACAAGCCTCGGACAGGGTTTGGCTGCATAGTGGTCTTTTTTTTTTTTTTTTTTTTTTTCATCTCCAATGATATGAATTTCATTCAATGTTGTTTGTAAATTCCAATTGTTTTTGAATTCTTATGTCATTGATGCTTAGAATATTTGTACATACACACTGTAATAAATCCCATGCCTTTGTCCCACTCTCTGTCATCATTGTAATTCTCTTTCTGAGGTTGAAAAGTTTATTGTTATTTTACATGTCATGAGAGGACAAAGGGAAAGAGATTCAAAGGAGTTTAGCAAGACCAGACAAAGAGTTCTACAGGTCACTTCATTCACTTGATACCTGTCAGAATACATATTCTGAATGAAAGCACTAGTTTAGATCTGAACAGTCTCTCTCTCTCTCTTTCCTTCTCTCTGTCTGATTTTCTCTGTAAAGTCACATGTTTCTATCAGTCTGTGCTGTTTTGTTTTTTGCCCGGTCCTCTGCAGTAAGTAGCAACCATGGCTCCAGCACTCTGCTGAGGCCATTTTGTTATTTGCAGCTCATTCATGCTGTGCTTCAAAGAGCACCTGTGTGATGTGTGTGTTTCTGCCTGCTTGCATTTCTCTGTGTGTGGAGTTAAATCATAGGAGGCACTGAGGATATCCAATGAGCACATCTTCAGGTGATTCTGGAATTTCCATGGTAACGAGATGGTCCATCTGTCCATAACCTTTTCTTAAGTCAACTCACAGAAGTCTAATTAGGAGGTGAGATTTTACTTTCAGAAGAAATTTCTAACTGATGTAAAATATGTTCAGATAATTGAAAACCAGGCGTATTCAATCGTCCTCTGTGACTGGCAGGTGAGAAATCATCAGGTATCTCAGAAGGGAGCCTACATGAGTGCAGTGATTAAATCCGCTGTCAAGACAAAGAACTTCTTCTGTCTTATACAAGTTTTACTTTACTTCCATTACATACAATTATGGGGAAAGTTGCAAGATAAAGGACTTTTTACCATGAAGCGCACTTATAAAAAGTGCGCTGTCTCTTTGTTGATCAAACAAGAACTGGTGAGGTCGTAAAGATGCAACACTGAGAGTCCTGTTGAAACGAGAAAAAGATGTTGCCCTTGAGTTAGCTGTATTTTTAAAAAAACAATTGTAAAACTGTATTCACTGTACTTAAAAAAAAAAAAAAAGCATTGAGCAGTATATATTCATTCACTTGCTCAAGTAGCTTTCAATTATAATGTGCAATTTAACCTGACAGTAAACAAACCAGCAGTAAATCAGCACTTCCCCAAACCTGTGTTTTTGCCGTACATGGAAAAAACTAATCAGAGTTTAAAAAAGTCTCCACTCTAACATATGCTTTGATTTAGTTTCATTTCCAGTAACCCATAATTCAATCTAGGGGGAAACAGGAGGCAGCAACACAGAAAGAATTAAACATGCCTTCAGAAATACCCCTGTACTTGTGGACAATGCCTGAAACTTTCTCCCTGCACAAGGATGTACAGTGCATTAAGCAATGTCCTCAAAGTGCTGCTCCTGGACAATAACATTACTGATGTGCAGATGAGGGCTGTACCAAAATATTTAAGACAATATAATGTCTTAAAACATTTTGGAAAAACAAGAAAAGCTGAGAATGCCGTAATACTGAGTTAAGTAGCGGTCCTTACTTTATAAACAAGAAGAAGAAGAAGCTGTTTTTACCATTTTTATTCAGTTCCTTTACTTACAATCAACCATAAATAGTATACTTCAAATTAAAGCCGTGTCTTCTACCTGCTCCCTGTGCTACAATTGTTAAATGTCTTTGTATTTATAGAAATATTTAAAAACTGCCATGAGCAGAACAAATAAAAATGAAATGAAATAAAATGACAGGCATAGTTTGACAATGCAGGGAGTAGAGCGAGCCTCAGGTGACACAGAAAACAGTGTCAAACATTAAAACATGGGGAGCTATCATGCTTTGAGGTAATATCTACTAAGAGCTTTCAGTCACAGGGCTGATGACGTGGATAAATCGTACATTTAAACATCATTAGGAATGGATGATGAGATATATGTTAAGTGTGAAGAACTGTGTAAAGTTGAAGTAATTTAATTTGACTGATGGTGTTTTAATTTCAAGATTTCAATTAATATCACAATGGTATGTGTATTGTGATATTTTAAGGCCACAATAATTGTGAGGTAAACGATCTGATATTGTGACCACCTGAGTACAGATCTGCAGCCCATAACTTCATAGACATGGAGTTACACCACCTATCTCTGCTGGTCTCTTATCTCAATATAGTCAGTTTGATCAATCAGCAGTTCTTTAAAATGCATGGCCTACTGTAGGAGAGAAGCTGTTACAAAAAGAGCTGCTTTTAGAGGGAAATGAGTGGAGCTGAATTTAACCATAACAAGTTGTGTGTAGTGCGTCATAGTGGCAGCTCCAGTGGTATCGCTAATGCATGGCTGTAACAGAGTTTTAGATGGGTTATGGTGCCTTACTATAGGTAAAACACCAAGGCACCTTTAATAACCTCTCTATATTTGTTGGTATACAGTTGTATGGGACGCACAAAGGTATTAAACAACATATGTTTTTAAGAAATAAAAAACACCAAGTACGCTCTGATAGACATATTCCATGTCCGAGTTTTAAGAGTTTGAATATTCAGTTGAAAAAGTCGAGGACTGGCTCCAGTCCAGTTTGTGAAAACACTTAAAAATGACTTGTCAAGTTTGTTGGTGTATACCTCTGGTATGCAGAAAAGAAGTGCCTCTATAAAATACAGAGCAGCAACTTGTTTCTGCCCCTGACTTTTTTGCAGAGGTTTTTTTTTCTTTTTTTCTATTTTTAATCTGGAGTATCTCCTCTTGAGTTGGCCCCACCACTTGAATGAGTCTAATCCAAAACTTGACACAGAGGTTGAGATTTGAGTCATGCTCTGAATCCTCTGGAGTGCTCTTGAGGTCTCTGCACCCTAAAAAGTGAAGTCTTCTCAATTACAAATTAGACGTTTAGCCCACACTCCAATCTGACTCCACAGCTCTGCACTTTCAGAGTACTATCACCATTAACCTGGTGTAATAAATACATTTCACCTGTGGGCTCCGTGCTTAGAGAAATAGGGCCAGACAGGGAGTTTGTAGACCATCATCTCAGCGTTACGATGTACTCTGTTGTGATTTCTAGCTTTTCCTCATTGTTTCATGCGTCTTTATTCATGATCTGACAGTCAGGGCAGAGTGAATAAATCAGCAGCTCTTGTGATTTAACTGTTAGTTTTACCCCACATCTGTACCATTTAGCTTAGATTTATACACCGCTGTAATATGTTGGGGGTTTGTTCCATATTTCCTCCAATAGATAGGGTTTTTGAAGCCCCACTGTGGCATTTCCATTAGCTGTGTGTACCTGCACATAGTGAAGGAAGCCCGGCCCTCATGTACAGCTGTGATTTGTCAAAGCAATTAGACCTTCAATTGAAGCGTGTTCCTGCCTTTACAGTGGCGAACAGTGACAGAGGCCCTATTTCAATAGAGGAATACTGATACAGACTCTCACTGATGATTGGAACTTGGCATTGAAACACGTCATTTCCAGGGTGGCGAATGTCACGTGGATGAACTGTGTCGTTGCTGGGGAGCTGTCACATGCAGGTTGCTCTAAATAGATTACAGGCCATCCACTTTTAGAAGAGCTGCAGCGAAGAGTGACGCCTTTAAAGTGTTGCACACTCCGCTGATTTGTAATCTTGTAATGTCTGAGTCCTCCCAGTGCAGGTTGTGTTTGAAGTAAAGAGTGATTAGGTGTGATTAAAGTGCAAGAGGTGAACCATGTGCATGAACACGATGCAAACATGCTGGATGTAAATGTTTGAAGCTGTTGTGGAGAACATGGAGGAGCAGCCTCATTGTGTCAGAACCTGATTGAGTAAAGCTGGAGAGAGGTGTGGAAGGTAAAAGGTTGGAAACAGAGCTGGAAACAAAACGGGATTGATCATTTTATAACACACGAAGAAGTTACGTAGACATCATCACAGATCGGGTCTAAAGAGTAAATAAAAACAAAGATGGTAAGGAAGACTGACACACACACACACACACACACACACACACACATAGCTGGACAAAGTGCAGATAATGAGTGTGCTTACAAGGATCTGAAAATCATGGTCATGAGTTTTACTTGATCATATTCAGAATCAGTGATGCCAGTAACGCGTTTCTCAGTAACGTGCTACTATAATAAATCCACATTTTTTCAGTAACAAGTCATCTAACACGTTGCTATTTCCAAACCAGTGATTAAATTTAAGTTACATATCCAAGTAACTGTGTGCATTACTTTTTTGTCATTTTCTTTAAAAAACAAAAACACCAAAAAAATGTTTTCATCTGGGGGGAATGACATCAGTCAATAGGCAACAAGTCATGTTTTCAGCAAGAGGACCGCTCACATTTAACACATGTGCACACACATAAAACAACCACGGCCAAACGAACATAAACAACAATGGAGGGAGGAGAAAGATGCGCATTGTCAAGCTAGAAATACAGCCACTATTTTGACTTTGTGTCAGCTAACAATATTAAAGTGGTTAAAATGGTTGTCAAACATGTTGAGGCTGCTGAATGTATCTTAAAAAGTTACTTGTAATCTGACTAAGTTACTTTTAAAATCAAATAATCAGTCAAGTAACAGTTACTTTTTAGAGGAGTAATCAGTCATCATCAAATTACTTTGTAAAAGTAACTGTGGCAACAATGTTCGGAATACGGTGTGGACATGCACATTTGGACACCTGGTTAATAAAAACTGTGTGAACATGATCTGAGGCCTGTACTACGAAGCTGGATTTGGTCTTAGCGAGGTAACTTCTGGGTTTTCCGTACTACGAAGGTGGATCTCTTTTTATCCGGGTCCGTTGCCCCGGTAACTTACGCGGAACGCCAAACCTGCTCCGGAGCAGGTTATGTTTCAGGATAAGAGCTCAGCAGGTATAAAAAACCGCCCACTGACCAATCGGATCTCTTGGAAAATGGCTTGCCCACTTTTGCCGGATCCCGGGGACATCGTTGCACGGATAGTGAGAGGAGCGCTTCGCCGAGAGCGTTATATTCATGATCGTTCAAATCCGTTTGATTTACCTGATGACGTTCTCTATGAACGTTACAGGTTTTCCTCGGACGGCCTCAATATTCGGGCAGCATGAAGTCTAAGCAATGCACTAATATTTGCCAAGCTCCAGGTTCAAATTTGTTAGTCATCATTCAGAATTCATTGAAGCAGATTAGAAAACTCTTAACCCCAAATGTGTGCAGATGACGTGACCATCAGATGATGGAGAAAAAAAAAAGGCAGTGTGAGGAAATCACTGTTTACGCGTTGAAATATGTACAAATAAAATCTTCCAATAAACTTACAAACTACTTTAAAGGATGTTTTTAGATTTATTTTTATTTGTTCCCACGTACTCTTTTCCCCACTGCTGTTGTATCTGAAATAATGAGGTCAGTGATGGTGGTGATCACACACGCTGCATGACAACATATTAGGGGGCCATAAATTTATGAACACACAAATGTAATTTACACAAGCGGTGATTTTTTTTGCCGGCAGTCCCTCCGGCTTTTAGCGGCTGTGTCTGTCTCACTGTTTAAATAAAGCTCTGTTCTTCAGCTGTGAAAAATGACGTGCAGCCTTCTCCATTGTGGCGATTGGTCCGGTGGCACTGACCCGACCCCCTTTACGTGTGCGCGCACAGATCTGAACTGGATTCAGTTATCGAGTTGATATCCTGCTTCGTAGTACAGCTGATCGGGATCGCGGAGATCCGGTGAAGTTTAACGAGTTGTCGCAGAGTTATCCTGGATGTGTTAATCCAGCTTCGTAGTACAGGCCTCAGAGCTAGTATACTGATTTTGACTTTGAAATCTGAGGAAAATGACACGACCGTGGCTTATTGCAAGCTGTTAAACAGAATCAAAATACTCCGGAAGACACAGGGTAAAGGCTGCACTACCCCGAGCTGCAATGCAGGATGGGCGGTCAATATAAAACTTTCAAAGTTCCTGATGTTGCTAACTCACCATAACACAGACTGTAGTCACTGACTGCAGAGTAAATAGATAAACACCTCTATCGGCTGCTATGAGCACTACATATTTATGTGTTGGAGTGCTCGAGTCACTCCAACACTCAGGCTCTGAGATGCCAAAGACGCTGGGCTCTATTTTAGAATAGAATAGAATAGAATAGAATATTCCTTTATTGATCCCCCATGGGGGAAATTTTTTTGTCACAGCAGCATCACAGACAAGACAAAGAGTGCAAAAATGCAGTTATAACAATAAGGGTCCTAATATTAAGAACTTAAATAAATGTAATAATTAAGAAAAAAATTAGAAAAGGGAGAAAGAAAAAATAAAGCTTTCTACGATATACACAATTTAAATGCCAGAAAAAAAGTGGTGGTGGTGTAAATCCAGTTTTGTTACTGTTCATTGTAAAGTCTTATTGCAGAGGGGAGGAATGATCTGCGGTAGCGCTCCGTCCTGCAGGGTGGGAGTCTCAGTCTGCTGCTGAAGGAGCTGCCTAAAGCCCTTTTCGTGTACGCCCGTGAGGCGGCGGAGGGCGGCGAGCCCCGCGCAGTTGTATTTTCGTCTGGCGCAGCCCGGCGTATGGCCAGTTTGGTATTTTCATGGACTGAGGCGTACGGAGGCGAGCCGAGATCCGCCAAGCTTGGCGTGGTGGCGTGGCAGGGGGAGGTGTCGACAGAATCAGCGGGCGCAGTGACATTTTCGTGGTCGCCACCGGCGTGTAAAGGTTGTCAAAGCTTGCAGATTCAAACCTGGTCAGTTTCATCGCAGGCGGAACGCAGCTGGTCTAGTGGTATTTTGGTAGACCGGCGGCGTATCGGCATACGTCACCGATGCCTCACCGGCAGGTTTCCACAGTGTCAGGAACATTTCAGTGCAATAAATAATCATCAACTATTAATCTGAGTCAGCACATATATTTAGATCTATATCGATATATTCTGATCTACAGTGAGTCCAAGAAGTATTTGATCCCTTGCTGCACGTTTAATGGTAGATGTATTCTAACATGGAGAGACAGAATATCAAGACAAAAATCCAGAATATAACTTTAAAGAATATATTTTAATTAATTTGTATTTCATTGAGGGAAATAAGTATTTGATCCCTCTAGCCAAACACACTCAATACTTAGTGGCAAAGCCTTTGTTAGCAAGCACAGCAGTGAGACGTTTGTTGTAGTTAACCACAAGTTTAGCACACACACCAGGGGGAATTTTGGCCCACTCTTCTTTGCAGATCCTCTCTAAATCAGGAAGGTTGGTGGGCTGTCGCTTGGCAACTCTGACCTTCAGCTCCCTCCATAGATTCTCAATCGGATTGAGGTCCGGAGACTGGCTGGGCCACTCCATGAACTTCATGTGATTCTTCTTGAGCCAATCCTTTGTTGCCTTTGCTGTGTGTTTCGGGTCGTTATCATGTTGGAAGACCCAACCACGGCCCATTTTCAGCTTCCTGGCAGAGGGGAGGAGGTTGTCCCTCAGGATTGTACGGTACATGGCTCCATCCATCTTCCCAGTGATGCGGTGAAGTAGCCCTGTACCCTTGGCAGAGAAACACCCCCAAAACATTATGCTTCCACCTCCATGCTTGACGGTGGGCACAGTGTTCTTGGGGTCATAGGCAGCATTTTTCTTCCTCCACACATGGCGGGTAGAGTTGAGGCCAAAAAGTTCAATTTTGGTCTCGTCTGACCACAGAACCTTCTCCCAATAACTCGGTTCATCTTTCAGGTGATCATTGGCATACTTAAGGCGCGCCTCCACATGTGCCTTCTTGAGCAGGGGTACCTTTCGGGCACTGCAGGATGTTAATCCATTGTTGCGCAAAGTGTTGCCAATTGTTTCCTTGCAAACTGTGGTCCCAGCTGCCTTCAGGTCATTTACCAACTCCTGACGAGTGGTTGCAGGATGATTTCTGACCGTTCTCAGGAGCATTGTCACCCCACGAGGTGAAATCTTCTTTGGAGCACCGGGCCGAGGTCTGTTGATGGTCATGTTATACTCTTTAAATTTTCTAACAATTGCACCAATAGTTGTTACTTTCACATCCAACACCTTGCTAATCTTTTTGTAGCCCATTCCAGCTTTGTGGAGGTCAACAATCCTGACTCTGAGGTCCTGAGACAGCTCTTTGGTCTTACCCATGTTGGAGACTTGAAATCTGTCAGATTGTCTGATTCTGTGAACAGGTGTTTTTCACACAAGTGATTAGTGAGAACAGGTGGCTTCAGTTCAAGTAACAAGCTGATTGGGAGTGTCTAACTGGTCTGTGAAAGGCAGAACTCCTAATGCATACTGAGGGATCAAATACTTATTTCCCTCAATGAAATACAAATCAATTAATATATATTCCTTAGATTTTTTTCAGGATTTTCTTTTTGATATTCTGTCTCTCCATGTTAGAATGCATCCACCATTAAATGTGCAGAATGATCACATCTTTATTAGTGGGCAAACGAAGAAAATCAGCAAGGGATCAAATACTTCTTGGACTCACTGTATATCTGATCTGATGAGCGCGTTTGGCATGCGTTTGGACACACAACCTGACCGAATCAACACAGCTGAAACCACATTAAATTAAATTAAATATCTAGTAAATAAACACACATAATGAAGTTAACAAGATATGTAATTCGTCTCCCTCCTTTTCTTTCTTCCTCTTCCTCTTATTTCTCGCACAGCTCGACCTGGACACGTCTCCGTGTCCTCTCTCTGTCCTGCTGCTGCAGCGGCTGAACAGATGATTTGTTTCAGTGCTCAGATGAGTTATCTACTTTAAGCCGACATACGGATATTATAATATTCAGTTTTGTGAGCCAAATTGATTTTATATGCCAACATCTATGAAAGAAACAGCCAGGCCACAGAGCGCGATGCGTCATTTACGCACAGATAGCTCCGATTTTAATGCCATTATTGGAATTTATGTTGTGATCTGTGCGCTCAACCCACTTTTGTCACGTGAGGTTTGAATATGAGCAACTTTATGTGAGTGTCTTTATCTGTGGAAAAGGGTGTTTGTCTTACCAGTGGGTCCAACATTACACACACCAAATCCATCTGTGCTCATATGAGAGGGTGTGGAGGACGCCCAATGCAGCGCTTACATTAACACTTGTTGAGGAGCTGCCCTTTGTCGCCATTGTGTGGCATAACTGTCTTCAGACATCTCTTGATCTCCTTGACTACTTCATGAAAATTGTAATATGCCTCACCGGTGGCGGATTTAAAGGCAAGGAGAGGAGCTGATGTGATTGGTGAAAACAGGTCTCGGCTGTGTTAAACCCACTACCCGCCCTCTCTCCTCCCTCGCTACGACTTACGCCGCTGGGAGGAGCTGAGTTAGGGAGGGGGGATACTTTCGCCGGGCTGCACCGCTCACCAAAATACCAAATTGTGCTTGGGAACGCCTTGTCGGCGCGGCGGACCTCACTTACGCCGTGCATGCACCGCGTCGCCGGCGAGGCACGAAAATAGAGCCCGCTGTGTTTTGGCCTGAGCTGAGCTTTACATAACAACCTGTTTGTAACATTGAAGCAGGAATGGTCAGTCACAATAAATCCTCATGATGTAGTCAACCTCAACCAGGTTGAATAGAAACAGACTGAAATGGCGTGAAGGGAACCACTCCTGTTGTGCATAAATTCACATCTTTTGGCACTAACATTGACACAACATCACAAGCAGAAAAAAATTTGCCAGAATTAACACCACGGGGCAGGACCTCCTGTCTTTCTGTACACACCTCAGGCTCTCTGCTGACTCAGCACGTCTTTTTGAAGCTGTGAGGTGGCTCAAGCTAATGTGGTCAGTACTCGTGGTCAGCCATTTGTCTTGTGAGCTGTTTAACTAAAAACATCAGTGCAGCGTTGTTTCTTATACCACATGGATTGTTACATGTCAGACTTATGCACATGCTTTATTTCCATTACAACAGCAAGCCTGATTAAAAATCCTCTCTCTCTTTGCATTTATCATTGAGTTTGTTGGTTTTTTAACATACATTATCTTAAATGTCCTTAAAAAAATCACTGTGTAAGATCTCAGGATTCACGGGGACACACACAAACAATTAAAAAAAAACCTTGTCTGCTGACTGAGAAAAGATTATATATACACTACAGGCCAAAAGTTTGGAAGCAAGATCAGATTTATACAAAAAAAGACCATAGTTTCATTAATATAATTTGCAACACAATAAACATGACTATTGTTTAAAGAGTAACTTATCAGAAGACACTTTGACTATAATTATTAAGTATTTGAGTTATTGTTGCTTAGACTTTGCTTTCTTTAGAGTAACCTCCTCTGGCTTTAACAAAAGCTGGCATATATGAGGCATTCGTTCCACAAGTTTTCTTAGGTATGTTCCAGGGATTGCATTTCAAGCTTTCTTAAGTTTATTAAAAGGAGACTGCTGATTCATGGGACGTGCTTTTCTGACTGAGAGATCCAATTCATCCCACACAAGCTCTGACTGAGGGGGCCAAACCATCTTTTGAAGAACACCTCCCTATTTTTTTTTTTTTTTGTCTAAGTAACCCTGACAGAGCTCGGCAGAATACTCAGGGCCATTGTCTTGCTGCAAAATAAACTTATGACCCACAAGTCGGAGTCCAGATGGAACAGCATGGTGCTGGAGTGGTACTGTTCCTTCTTCATGATACCCTTTACTTCAAAAAAATCTCCTACTCCATCACCTGCAAAACATCCCCATACCATGGAACTATCACCTCCTTGCTTAATTGTGGGTGTAACACATGGTGCTTTCAGACGTTCACCAGTTTGTCTGCAGACATAGACTCTGCATTTTGAACCAAACAGTTCAAACTTGTTTTCATCAGTCCAGAGAACTTGTTTCCAGTCATCATAGGTCCAATTTTTGTGAGCTTTTGCCCACTCATATCTTTGTTTCTTATTCTGTGGACGAAGTAGTGTCTTTTTGCAGTTACACAACCCTTCAGACCAGCCTTTCTCAAACGTCTTTTCACAGTTGTCAGAGATATAGGTTTTGACCTTGTTATGTTGATTTCCTCCCTTATTCGTGGTGCTGTCTTTCGCCGATCTCTTTTACTGATGACAATGCTATGTTTATCCTCTGCTTTTGTAGTAACTCTCTTTCATTTCGGCCTTTTTCTATCATCATAACTTCCAGGTTCCTCTTGTCTCTTCAGAGTGTAGTGAACTCCTTTGTTAAACACCTTTAGGCGTTTTGCAATTTCTCTTTCCGTGTATCCTTCTTTCCTCAATGTACAAGTCTGTACTTTTGTTTCTTAACCCAGTTGCTTCTTTCTAGCCATTTTTGTGGTAGTTTGAACGAAGTTGAGATTTATTCGGATTTTTGTATGCAGGCTCTCAAAAGCCAAAAAGTTTAAGTGAATAATCCAACTGTGATTTGTTTTTTTGCTTTTGCACTGAAGTTGTGACTCTTGCATATGTTTTCAACTCTAAAACTAAGCTCTTTTCTTTTGCTCACATATATTTAGCAATGGTCTGTTAACATCAATGTATATCAAAAGGTAAAGTGATTAAAATGGTGCATTTCCATGAAAGCAACATCTGATCATGGAGTAAATACATCCCAAAATACATACAACTCATGCTGGATTTAAAAAAAAAGCATTGTGAACAAAAACTTGAAGTTACTCCCAACTGTTCGGCCTGTAATGGCCTTGCTTCCAAACTTTTGGCCTGTAGTGTATTTATATATATAAAATAATCTAATATAACAACAACTACAATAATAATAATAATAATAATAATGATGATGATGATGATGATGATGATAATAATAATAATAATAACAACAGCAATAATAATAATAACAACAACAACAACAATGATAATAATAATAATAATAATAATAATAATAATAATAATAATAATAATAATAATAATAATAATAATTATAATAATAATAATTATAATAATAATACAAAGGTTGTGAAAAAGGGTTTTGAGTCCCCATTCACTTTGTCAGACCTTCCTTGGTAACCTTTGATCTTTCTGAATGATCACATGTTCACTTCATGATGATCAAATCTTAAACAGCCACTGGCTAGGGTTCTATAAAAAATCATCTGTTATGTAATACGGACTAATGCAGTTTCATAATGCCCATTTACCAATAACTCATTAGAACAGGATCAGGACTTAATTGTAAATGTGAGAGGATATTAAATAACTATGTCAGGCAGTTTTATCCATAAAGCCTCAGCTAAGTCCATATATAGCAATATCTTTCTGAGACAACTTAACTAAAAGTTTATTCTATTATTGCAATTCTGTTTCTCAGTTCTTATGAAATCACTCTATTTAATACAAAATCACAGCAACACAACATTATATCATCATTTTCTATCAGCCAGCTGAACATAACACTGAACATTCAAAAACTGATTTTGGCTGACCACAAGTAATTTCTATGCAAAAAAAAAAAAAAAAAAAGTTACCTACTACAAACATAAATGACAGACTAAATAATATAATAAATACTTTCGTATCTTATTAAACACTGAGTCAAAGCAAGACAACATTTTTTGTAATCGAACTGCATGACTGCAAAAATCCAACTTTGCACACTGGATACACAGATGAATCTTTCCACTGTTCCTGATTCTGGTCCATCAGTCGCTTTTAAATCTTGTTCTACAAAATAGTTTTGTGAATTCCTACTAAAAAAGAATAAAAGAAAAAAAGACCTCCACAAATGGAGGAATAAGGTTTTTACTTTATTTTTTATGACTCCTCTTGCTCCTGTGAAGGACTGCGTGCTGCTTCATTTCATCAGTAAAAAAGAACTCGAGGAAACACACATTACTGCCTCACTTCATGAGAGTTTGGAGGGAGGCCGCTGCTTGTTGGAGGTTCTCTCTGAGTTATGATGGAGTATTGATTTGCACAGCTAACTCGCACCTCCAAACCTTCGACCATTCAGCTGCTTAAAGAGCCTCTGTCACCTAAAGACCAGCTACTCTGAACCCATCAGACAGGGTTCACAGTTTTGCCCCTAAGTTGTTTCTGCAAGCTTTACTTTCACATGTGGAGATTTATTGATTTAGTGTCGAAGGCAGCATGGCCGTGAACCACCCCTCTTTGCACACACACACACACACACACACACACACACACACACACACACACACACACACACACACACACACACACACACACACTTGGAAGAGAGTCAACTAAAGGCTGTGGAACAAAGAAAAACTAACTGATGAATATGTCTTCTTTCAGTTCATAACCAAACACCAAGGAGCTTAGAGTCCCCGTCTTCATGGTTGTTTGATGGTGTCCTATCTACTACAGCAAGCTAAACATCTGCACACTAATGTAAGCTTACACTTTTCCCCTTTGCTGATACAATCTGCACTAGGTGCCTGACAAGCAGATGTGGAGTGACCTTCGTTTAAAAATGATTTCCATGGTACTGGATCTTTCTTTATGACTCAAAAATGTGGTATCATGTTCACCTGCTACTTTCCAATTATAACGCTCTGCACAGTAGTGCCAGTCACAAAGTGACAGATGGATATTTAAGAGTGATAGATGAATATTTAAGAGTTCTGCTGGAAAAGAAAAAAAAAATACAAGAAAACTCTCTCCCTTGCACTCAATCAGGCCAGGAAATTCAATCACTTTATACTCGATTTAAGAACTCATAAGAATAATTTCAAACTGTGTAAGTAATCATCATTTGGCTTGAGATCCTGAACATTAAAAAAAAAAAAAAAATCTTACTAAACGTAGTTTCTTGAAATTACTTTTTACACACAAACGTAAACTCCACGAGACTTCAAAAGTCTGACGGTGAGAAATCTCAAATATTAAAAAAAATGGATTTTCTTTTTTAAAACAAAAACTGAAAGAGAGATAAAATATTAGAGACTATGAAGGACTAAAATCAAAAGAATACAAGCGTAATGAGGGACATGATTCACTGGAGAAAACTCATTAAATACTGTTTTCAAATTCCACATTTTTATGAACCACAGTCGGAGCCATACAGATTCTCTCCTTTCCAATCTGCTGTTTTATATTTCTCTTAACCCCTAAAAATGTGTCCCATTTAAAATGTCTGAAATAAAAATAAAAACATAAAAACATCTGACTCAGAGCTGGAATGTTCCCAGAATACCATCGTAGTCGCGTATTGTTGTTCTTGCCCATCAGTGCAATGACAATAAAATTGTATTGTTGTGTTCTGGCCTGCAGCTGAGGAGTGTCTGTGTGTGTCTGTGTGAGTAAGTATAAAAATCTCTTTATTTATTATCATTCAAATGTTTGCTCTGCAATCAACTTGATGAGCTGTGGTTACTCGTATTAAAAATGTTCATATCAAAAGCCTGAACGAGCTGTGAGGGGAATTTATGAACCTATTTAGCTGCTCTTGATTTATTTTAAATGTAACAGTAGTGCAGATAACCCATACTTAGTCCACCTGCCCTGTGGTTTCACATGCACTTCAAAGAACATAAAATGTTTCTGTAGAGATTATTTATTTAAATGGAATAAAATCAGTTATGTGCTGTTTTAAGGTTTATTTATAGCCCTAGTATCTTAATTTTATTATAACAATAATCATGTTAAAATTAAACTCGCGAAGCGATAAAAATGATCCTCTCTAATCTTTTTCTTTTAGTCTTTATTTGAAATTTACTTTAAGGGAAATAAAAAAAAATGATTTCACCTCACATCTGTTTGATTGTGGTGATTTTTGCTTTCAAAGTTGTTTACAGACTGTTTTTATGACATTTTTCTTCACTGTTAGATAATTGAAATAACTGATGTGACCATTTATGAGGAATACATATTTTCACAAAGAGAAAATGTAAAAATACAGTAAAAACAGGTTTGATTTTCATTTCTCTTATCAAAAGGATAAATTTAACAATTAAAACAGACAACTGATTTTTGCCATTAAGAGAGCAGCAACAACCCAGACAAACGGAGGAAATCTGAGCAGTTTCTTTGCAGCATGTGGAAACAGATTTCCACAAAAACCTATTTATTTCACAGTTACAACACCCCTCTCTCTGTTTTTGTTGTCATTATAAGTGAAAGAGGATGGATGTGTTCCTCCCTAGCTTACAGCTGCTGCAAGTTAAAAAACAACTGAATATGTTGAAAAGATTGATATCTAAATATATGTGCACATTCATACGAGGTGTACCCGAGCCTTCCTATCAGTATGCATGCATGTGTGTGTGTGTGTGTGTGTGTGTGTGTGTGTGTGTGTGTGTGTGTGTGTGTGTGTGTGTGTGTGTGTGTGTGTGTGTGTGCTAATTTGTCAGCTGCCTGCTTCTTACACTCATCACATTACCATCAGTTGGAAGTTAATCTAAATCCATTCAGACAGCTGGGAGACGAGGACATGATCCATTATTTACACAATCAACCATTTCTCTCATTTCTGACCCAGAAAGAATGAATTTGTCTCCTCAGCTTGCAGCTCGGTTTGAGTGGGGAGCCGGAGAGAGGAGAGACAGACAGAGAGCCTGTAATAATAATCATATTTCACTTCATTACACATCCAAGAAGTCCTCCAGGACTGACTCTGAGCTCTTCATATTCAGATCATGGTGTGGATTCTGATATCTGATGGAGGTGTGTTTCAGAGGTAGCAGTGTGGAGCTTATGTTATGGGCTTTTTGCACCTGATTCCTTTGTGTGCATGCTTTTATGTTGGCTCTTACAAGCCAAAGAATGTTCCTCGGAGTATTCATGTATGGATTAACTTGTCCATTTGTTTCTTGTATGATGGTTTCTGTAGAAGAAGAAAAAAAAAGAAATAAAGAAGTCCATGCACCAGTTTTGTGTTTTGAATTGCATGTTAATTCGAACAATGCCAAACAAGTACAACCACGCCACTCCACTAGCTTAAATACTATGTATCTCACATGAAGTTGGTCCAAGTTATTTTTTGTCTGACTTTTTGCAAACTCTGCGAGCTCTGTGTATCTTTCTTTTTGTTTTGTTCACTTTGGCACACACAATTGTCTCCTCCACACATACACCGATACGCTCTCACAAAAATATGCCCATTAAGATGATCACAAACCAATTCCAAAGTCCCTCTAGAAACAAAAAACATGATTATCAAACTAAGCGTGTGAACAAACCAAAATAACACAATCATAACACCACTATTTAACTGAGGTATCACAGCACTTTCAATTAGAAAGCTGTCGCATTTGTTTGCCTCTATTGTCGATGTTGAGCACAACTGAACCCGCATCAAGCCGCCATTAAAAACACCAACTGATTAAAAACCATTTAATTTGATAGCTAAAGTGGTGCTTCCCCATTTTCAGGCGAGCTATCTATCATGACGCCAGACGCACAAATGCAAAAAAACAATTGGACTCCAATTGTTGTAAGCGTTGAATCATGCTGCGAGACATGCTAAAGCTAATTTGCCAGACAAATTAGTTGGCTCGATTCAAACTTCATTGGCGAAGTTATAAAAATGTCGTATGGAGAGGAAAGTGCTCCTGCCGTACATTTATAGTAATTGTTTCAAAGGATCCCCGCTGTGGGGGGCATTTTAGACACCCACCCCACATGCCATTTTTTAAACACTGCGACTGTCAAATGGCTTGGCTCAGGGTCCCAGACGTTACAAAGACAGCTCCTCCATTCCTTTTCACGACTGGAGTCCATCTTCCCTGCAATGCCAACACATGCCGACCTGGTTGCAGTCCAGTATTTTTAGGCTTGTACGCTCCATTAAACCGTGCTGCAACACGAGGAAAAAGTTAGTTTTGCATCATGATTAGTTCTATTCAGAGACCTTGGGACAAGTTTGGAGAGGTGCACAGCACCGAAGTCACACAAAAACAAAGGATGTAACACAGGCGGCAGTTTGAAAGTGTTTCAGAGCTTTTCAGGCTGCTGAAATGCCTCACAGGCTGTTATGAGGCTGAAAAGTTTTCAGTTAGTGATTGTTTGCTCGAGTTTTTGGGGCTCACTGAATATGGCCTTAATCAATCAATCAATCAATCAATCAACTTTATTTCTATAGCACATTTAAAAGAACCACAAGGGTAGCCAAAGTGCTGTACAATGACACATAAAAACAAATAAAACAATCAAAGAACAAGATAAAGCAAGCAGAAATACATTAATGGAAAATAATAAATAAGTGTATAAATAAGGAGGCTCACAGCAAGTGCTAAGATGATAAAAAACAAATTAACACTACAATGTACTAAAAGCCAATGAGTAAAAGTGCGTTTTTAAAAGGGATTTAAAAACAGGAAATGAGGAGGCCTGTCTAATTTTCAAGGGCAACTCATTCCAGAGCTTAGGGGCAGCAGCAGCAAACGCTCTGTCCCCTCTGAGCTTAAAACTTCATTCAGTTGAATATAAGCAGAGATGATTAAGCTTTAACACAACAATAAGTGACCTTTTTGCATGAGGAGCATTGGAGACAGGACACCACATGATTGCTGTTATTTTTGCTTGTAGTTATGTTGTTTTACGCTCTTTCAATCTCATCTGATATATTGCTGCTATATTTTATAAATTTAATATAATTCTGAATTTCAATCAAATAAATCAGTGTTTTTCAACTTTTTTAATGCATTAGAAGAAATGCTGTCCTGAATGAACAACATCTTAAATTCCTGTAACCAAAGATTAATCTCTACTTCTACCCAAGTATTGGCCACTGCTCAACATACTTTATTTTTACTGTACTTGCAAAATTATGCCAAATAATGATAATGTGTCTCTCATGCCAAAAGCATTAAAGAAAATTGCATCCGTGATTTAAGTAAACAAAAATGATCATCAGTACCAATTGTGGTTTTTAAAAAGTGACTGTTTGTTTCAAGTTTTCTGTGACAGCAGGTTTGATAGATAAACATTGCTCCAAAGACACACCACTTCCTGGAATATTTACACTGCCATGTATTAATCCAAAGTACTCACAGAAGCTCAGCCAAATTTGGATTTTATTTGTTTTCCAAACTTTTGTGCAACCAAGTCTCTTTTTTTTAACAAATTTCTGAAAAAATGAATAAATAAATAAATATATATATTTATATTTATATATAAAATGTTGCAGTTTTTTAATGGTTGTAAAACAGGAAATGCTTTTAACTTCAAGCAATTGCAGATTTTCAATTTATCATATTTTTAATAGCATGATTAAAATTACATGATTGCATCCAACAATGTAAAACTTTTGCTATCATTGTTTTGAGCTTAAATTGAATGAATGCAATGAAAAGTGCTCTGTGGACTTGACTTTTAGCTTTTTTATTTAAATAAAATGTTGCACCGTTATGGTCTGAAACTGTGACTTACATGAGACACTTCAGTTCTTTACTTTTTGCCCCCCCCCCCCCCCCTTTTTTTTTTTTTTTTGTTAAGCACTTTGTGATTCCTGTCAGTGGAAAATGCTTTAAAAACAAGTATATGTATTCACCTGCAAAGTGCTTAATCTGTCACACACAGTGTTGATTTCTCCATAGAATAACTGTTGGTTACAAAGAAATATCCCACAGTGCATGGGGAAAAAAGTATATTCAGTGCAGTTTTTCTAAAATACTGACATCAAGTGATTCCTTGTTAATGCCACGGAATCAGCATCAAATAACTGGGAGCTAAAACTTGTGCAAGCTAGAATACTGTTCTGTAAAAATCTAATTTGAGATTTCTTTCAAGCAGCTCACTAAAGAAAACATGTCAGATACTCACGTCTGAATTCAAAACCGTCACAAGCTTAGGAGGACACAGCATCCATTCATGCAGGAACAAGGGTGAAAACTGCTCCAAAGGTTTCAGGCAAGTGTTAGACATTGACTTCACTTGAAAATGTTTAAAGAAACTTGGCAGTATATTTGTAAACTAGGTCAGGTAATTTAAAGATCTAATCTGACTGTAACGAGTGGAGTCATTTCACCTTTTTTAACATTTAGCACTTGAGTTTCATTAAAGTCATCCGTTCTCTGACTTCAACAGCTCCTCTGCTCTTTAATGTATCATTAGATGTCATTTCAAACTTCAGTGTTAGTATATTGAACTTCAACTTCTGCTGGACAGATGTGTCCCTTCGCTAATTGTTTAGTCACACTGTCACTGTGAAGGTGGCAACCATGCTAACCAATCAGCTTCGCTTGAAACCCATGACTTTAATTCACACACACACACACACACACACACACACACACACACACACACACACACACACACACACACACATACCAACATACACTCTTTTCTCCTCTCACCACAGTAAAGAAAGAAGGTACGGTCATGCTGTTTAAGGTATCCGTTTTAGTGTGTTTGTTGGTGTGTGTGTGTGTGTGTGTGTGTGTGCGTGCGTGCGTGCGTGCGTGCGCATGCGAGTGGAGTATGTGTGTGTGTTCACCAAAGAGCCATATCACTCTCGTTGTCCAAGGCCTGAAGCCATGCTATTGTGCAGGCTATTGGATCAACTGAACGCATGCTACACACACACACACACACACACACACACACACACTGACTCACACACACACACACACACACATACACACACACACGCATTACCACACACTAACACACTGCCAAAATGCCGGATTTCAAGGCTATGTGCTTGGCTAATCGTGTACAGTCTGTTCTCTGATTATGAAAAGGTGTTTTCAGCTCAAGGCCACATATCTGCCACCGAAAAGACATCATTCCACCAAACTAAAATCAGTGTGTTACACATTTTGCTATTTCAGACAAAACAGGAACAGCACAGAGGAGGATGCAAACTTTTAATAATTTAAATTGCAACAAACCTGTGATTTTCTTAAATATGATCAAACTCACATCTTAAATGAGATCTGTTAAGTGTGGTTGTTGTGTGCAAAAGAATTTGCATGGATTAAATGAAATTCTTTTGCATCTTAACGGTAAAATAAATTGGGGGATCAAACTTGTGATGCATTACAGGAGCCCCATGTTCTCTAAGGTTATCATCGCTACAACAACAAAAGGGGTGAACAAGGGAGCCTCCTCTTTGACTTCCCTTAATATTTCTACACATCGATAACTTTGGGCAGGCTATTTTCAGACATGACACTTAACCATTGCTGCAGTTTTCTACAGATGCTTTGTACTCACATGAGTGCAAGCAAACACTGGCTAGCACATCTGGGAACAATGGAGGAATAACATGCAGCAGCATTGCCAATGGAGGGAAGTGATGAAGCCTTCAAGGACAAGAAGCACTAGTGATGTATGATAAGTCTGATCCTCAATTCATCAAGGTTAGATCATCAATATCAATTCTTTTGTGGCAACTATAATCACCTCTCCTCCTTTCATTCATTGCATTTAAAGCGGCCAGTCACTGAAAGGAAAACACAGATGAACTTAAGTGTCATCATCCATTTCTAATGATGTTCAAATGTTCACTTCATTAGACAGTGGTGTGTCATGCTTTATTTGAATATCTTTTCTTGTGTATAGGTTGCTTTATTTCCTGTACTGTAAAGCCATGGCTTTATTCTGAATTGCACTCTTTTAAGCAGATTATTAATTATTGAGTGGAATGAAAACAGTTAAACAAATGGTAAGAAAGCGCAAGTGTTTAATGGGTTAGCAACCTGAAGAGGCAAAAACTCTAAATTTTTTTTTTTTTTTTGATTCGCAGAAAGTCTTTAAATATCCGTTTTTTAAGCATCTGATCATTTTTCAGAGGCATGCTAACGCTAACTCATTTGCTTTCCTCTGTTTATAAAGTGACAACCAGTGTGAAGAACCACTACTATAAAGTCACTGTTATTTTTTATAAGTAGTAGTATTATAGATGATTATCCTACAGACTGACTTCAGTTGAAATTGCAGGATTTAATAATAAAGTGTGTTTCGAGGAAATTCTGTTTAGAAGACTGACCAGTTTAAAAGTTACATCAAAACTGATGTTAGAACTAACTGTATCAGATTTCTCTGTAGTAATCTAAAAATCAGAGTTTTTCTTAGTTGTTTTATCATCATCATTATTATTATTATTATTATTATTGTTGTTGTTGTTGTTGTTGTTTTAATATTTCCTCTCTTTTCGTTTCATGTTGCCCATCAGGTCTGTGCTCCTTATTTTAATATTGTATTAACTTGGCATCTAAGGCATAAATTTAAGCTTAGTCTTTTTACATTATTAACTGATTCTTACATAATCTTAAAGGGTTTGCTTATTTTCTTCTCACCATAAAATGTGCACAGCTTTGGTCTGAAGATTCTTAGAGCTGGTTTTGAAGATGAAATAATGACATATACAAGATTTTCCATTTTTGTTCAGTGTGGACTTCCTGAATCTGGTGGTGCATTCAGTTTTTAGGGCTTTGTTGAAATTGAAGAGGTTTGTCCTGCTCTGAAACCTATAACTTCCTGCTGTGCATAAAGAGTTTACGTGTGCCTCAACAAGGGAGTCATTTGGGTTTTTCTGTTTGTGTCACAGCAATGACATTTGCTTTTTTTATTTTTTAAAACCCAGAAGCAGCCCTGCAGACAACAAAGAGTGACAACGGTTTCTTTGAATTCTTTCTTTTTTCAGAAAGTTTGCTCAGATTTACAGAGAGGCTTAAAGGCGTTTACTGCACAAAACACTTTTTCTTTTCATGAAATGTTTTATTTTTGGAGCTAATAAACCAAACATCAGGTCAAGCTGGAGAGTGAGAAACGAAGGAAAACGAGCCAATTAGGTGAAGTAGGAGGACCTTTAGTCGGCAACAAAAATGCACATTGAGCCCTCCTGTGTCTCCTCTGGACTGCAGACATGTCTGGTGTGGGTGTTTACTTTGTTTCACTCACTAACATTCATCAACCCCTGCTGATTTGCAAGTCTCATTATACCTCTGACATGTAGAGCCTTGAAGCATCACACTGGGGCCGTCCTCGTGTGCTCTTTTCCCATTCACTTTTGAACTGTGTTAGTTCAATGGCCCCAAAGAAATCAGGGTGAGAAATGCAGAGGAGGTAGAGGGATGAGACAGCATGCACAAGGAAACAGGAAGCCAAAGAAAAGCGCAGAAAAGAAAACACACCGCTGGAGATTTGTCTGCAGAAGACCCTGACTCTGAGGTCAGACCAATTTTTAAAGCCCAAATCTGACTATAATGGTATATTCAGAGCTGAAGATGTAAATGTCACCCATTTCACTTTTATCAAAGAGACGGACGGTGTGGAAACTATGTGGGAGTTCTTCTGAAACACAGAAAAAACACCAAGCCTGAAATTTTAACTAGCAGAAGGATGTCCTTCAAGGTATTGTGAATGCCGTGGTGAGGTATGCTGTCGTGATGGCTGACAGATATTGTACTACTGTAGAAAAACCAAAGAAACCTTCATACTGCTTCCACCAATGACTCAGTGTTATTTTAGCCATGCTTTCTTCCTCTACTTCAGAACTTACTTTGCTGGCCTTGGTCATTCACAGTTCATGAACCCGGCCCCAGCACACCAAAAACCCATTTCCTGTCTCCACATGCTGCCGACTCCTTACCACTCAGAAAAGACACAGGGCTCTATTTTCGTGCCTCGCCGGAGATGTGCCGCAAAGGCGTTCCCAAGCACAATTTGGTATTTTCGTGAGCGGCGCAGCCCGGCATAAGTACCCCCCCCAACTCAGCTCCTCCCAGTCGCGTAAGTCGTAGCAAGGGAGGAAAGAGGGCGTGGAGTGGGTTTAACACAGCCGAGACCTGTTTTCACCAATTACATCAGCTCCTCTCCTCGCCTTTAAATCCGCCACTGGCGAGTTGTGTTACTATTTTCGTGAAGTAGTCAAAGAGATCAACAGATGTCTGAAGACAGTAATGCCACAAGATGGCGACAGAAGGCAGCCCCTCAACAAGTGTCGCTGTAAACGCTGCAGATGGTGTCCTTCACACTCTCTCATGTGAGCACAGATGGATTTGGTGTATGTAAGGTTGGACCCACTAGTAAGACAAACACCCTTTTCCACAAATAAAGACACTCACATAAAGTTGCATATATTCAACCATCACGTGACAAAGGTGGGTTGTGCGCACAGATCACAACATAAATTCCAAAAATGGCATTAAAATTGGAACCATCTGTGCGTAACGATGCATCACCGTGGCCTGGCTCTTTCTTTCATAGATGTAGGCATATAAAATAAATTTGGCTCACAAAACGTAATATTATAATATTCGTATGTAGGCTTAAAGTAAATAACTCATCTGATCACTGAAACAAATCATCTGTTCAGCCGCTGCAGCAGGACGGAGAGAGGACACGGAGACATGTCCAGGTCGCGAGAAATAAGAGGAAGAGGAAGAAAGAAAAGGAGGGAGACAAATTACATATCTTGTTAACTTTATCGTGTGTCTATTTACTAGATATTTAATTTAATTTGATTTAATGCGGTTTCAGCTATGTTGATTTGGTCAGGTTGTGTGTCCAAACACGCTCATCAGCTCAGATATAGATCTAAATGTATGTGCTGAGTCAGATTAATAGTTGTTTTTGATTATTTATTGCACTGAAATGTGCCTGACATTGTGGAAACCTGCCGGTGAGGCATCAGTGACGTATGCCGATACGCCGCCGGTCTACCAAAATACCACTAGACCAGCTGCGCTCCGCCTGCACTGAAAGCTGACCAGGTTTGAATCGGCGAGCTTTCAGCGCACTTTATACGCCACCAGCAAGCATGAAAATGTCACTCCGCCAGCCTATTCTGTCGACACCTCCCCCTGCCACGCCACCACGCCCAGCTTGGCGGACCTCGGTATGCCTCAGTCCACAAAAATACCAAACTGACTGTATGCCGGGCTCCGCCAGACGAAAATACCACTGCGCGCCCTCCACCGCCTCACTGGCGGACACTAAAATAGAGCCCACTATCACAATCTCAGTGACTGACAAAGAGAGACCTGTCATGTGCAGGGCAGGACCTTTATTTTCTTACCTGTGGCTCTGCTGAGGAGCAATATCCCATTTAACCTTCAGTGAGATACGAATGATTAATAATGCCACTGTGATGCAAGTCTAGTCATCTATAAGTAAAGCTTGATGGGAAAGCTGTACACTATATACTTTTGATTAAAATCATAGCCAAAGTTATTTAGCACACACTTCTTTCCATTTTGGTGCTCAAGACTGTTTTGATTAATAGTGATATTACAATTATAGAAATAATTACTAATGATTTGATATCTCTATCACACGCGTTTATGCAATTTAAAACAAGATTTAGCCTACTTTTTTGTCCACTAAAGCATGTCCATCTGACTGGATCATATGTTCTACTGCTGAAAGGGACTGTGCATCACTTCTGCACTTTAAGAGCTCTGCCTTAACAAAGGTGATTGATACTAACTAAATTAAATGTCAGATCTTATCGGAAGTATTTTTACACTGTCACAAAAACAGAAGATTTGAGCTCTTTTATGTGATCCCTGCAGCTTCTCTCTGCTCAAGATCATTCTGTCCCTTGGCAAAAATACACACAACTTTCTTCTCCTGCTCCTCTCCTCGCTCTCCTTTCTCTATCTGGCTCCCCCTGCTCTCTCCTCCTCCTGCTCCTCTCCCTGCTCTGCTTCCTCCTCCTTCTGCTCCTCTCTTTGCTCTCCTCTGTCCTCTTTCTGCTCCTCTCCCTGCTCTGCTTTCTCCTCCTTCTGCTTCTCTTCATGCCCTGCTTTCTCCTCCTTCTGCTTCTCTCGCTGCTCTGCTTTCTCCTCCTTCTGCTCCTCTCCCTGCTCTCCTCTCTCCTCCTGTGAGGTGAAATTGAGAACATACAGGATGTAACAGGGGTAACACAGGAGGTTGCACACTGGATTATTATATGTCTATGCTCTTAGGGGCTAAAATGGAAATGGGTTTAATTAACAAGCTCTACTGAAGACCAAAGAGTTTTTGTACGTGTTTATGAAAATTAGGGATGTCAGAAACTACTTAAGGAATCCATTTGTAAACGCGTACTTTAAACACTAGTCTTGTTTTATTTTCTGTCAGGCAGAGATAAACAATGTGCTTTACATATAACAGTTAGCGATCAGGGTGGTGTTTGGAGTTTAAAACATGTCTCAATGTAAAGCAGCTGGCCAAAGGTGTTTAACCATAGACTGGGACAACTTGGCTCGGCTTTCCATCATTATATGAATTTGAAGCCGAATTGCTCTCAGTATTTCTGGGATTTTTTCCACTTCCTGGAACCACCACTTGTACAGTAGCATTATATGCATTTGGCAGGAGAGTCACTGTGATGACGCTCGGCTCAAACAGCGTATTCTCCGGGTGAGCTACACAATCTTCGTACGCCCATAGGCTTAAGTGTCCATCATAAAAACATGAACCCCCTAATAACTTTTCAAAATGAGCTGTAAAGAAAAAAGAGGACTTGAGCATAAACCAGTCTTACAGTAACTCTATGTCAACATCGCAGCTATGGGGGAGAAAAATGTATTTAATGTAAAGTAATTAATGTAATTAATTTTTAAAGTTTGATCACAGCTCCATAAGGATTGCTGGAGGAGGCAGGATTTATGACCTATACTGCAGCCTGTCACTAATGGGTGCTGTTCTTGCGATAGCTTTACCCAGCAAGGAGGCAGACGGCGTCCATTCCATATATGGTCTATGTGTTCAACACTTTTGAAACTTTAGTGGTCTACAGAAAAGCATCATTTCATGTGATTTGAATCATTACTTAGATAGAAGAAAGGAAGACTGCGAGCAGGAGTTTCAGTGAATGACAGTGACATCTCATAGTGTCAGTCACTACATCTTCATGAAATAATTAATGACAGATGCTTAGTCAATTTACTCCATCTTGGTCTGAGTCATTAAAGCTGTCAATAACAGGTTCTTTTTTCAGCTCAAACAGTTTCAAAAGTCCACAATCAGCCTTAAAGAAACTTCTACATCAGGAAGAATTTTTATGTAACAGCTGAGGAATAAGCCTTGATTTTCTGCAGCTCCCTCAGATATATTGATTAATCTTGAGGGTAAAAAAGACTTGAAAACAAGAGGGTTGTTATCCAACCTGCTCTCCAGGTTGAGCTACACTGCATGCTTTTTTAGGTTGAGCATGCAAATGTATAATGAAAGTTTGCGCACATTTTCTACACCCTGATGTTCTGCTTTTCATCCAGAGGTCCCCCACAACCATGAAAAGTGCCGCTGACACTTTCAATCTTGGGAATTTCATTGAGTTTCAGTGATGCACACACAAAGACAAATGCTCACTGATCTCTGATATAATTCTCAATCCTCATATGTTTTTGTTCACCCTGTTGCGTGTCGCTCTTCCAGGTTTGCACGTAATTATTATCATCTATCCAATTTAACAATGCTTCTGGAGGGAAAAATATCAGGTAAATAGGGGTTACAAATGCGACATTAACTCATGCAGCTCACCTACAAATATTTTTTAAAATTAAGAGTTTCGTGCACATGTGATCCTGTATACCTCGTTTTATAACTTCTGTAACCTCAGAAGATGAAAAAGGATGCGAAATTCAACAGTGCTCATTTATCATTAAGCTGCCTTTCCAATTTCGTGTCTCAGGCTCATTTAAAAAAAAAAAAATGTTCTTAATTTCTCATCACTCATGTTGATAATAATCGGAAGTCAAACAGTGATGCAAAGGGGCTTTCAACGCATTGTGAATCCAAACTCTCCGTGGTTCTCTCGTTCAAAGAGGCTTAGAAAGAGAATGAGTTTGCTTTTTATTTTCTTGTTTGAGCATTAGGCACAGTGAAGCTTTGTGCAGAGATGGTAAAATCAACTCCAACATGACCTGAAGAGGCACATAAATAACTGTAACATAGCAGCACTAGAATAAAGACTAAATGGAGGTCAGCAGGTCTGCTAAGGTCTTTTCACTCTTTGCAATGTGCTTGCTCTCAAAGATGGTACAACAGGCATGTACACTCCTAAATGCATAAACACTCACACAAACACACACACACACACACACACACACACACACACACACACACACACACACACACACACACACATTTGGCCTATGCTGCAGTTCCATTGAGGGGTTAGTGACTCTTCGCACACACATGCAGTGGAGCATAATGGTGCCCTGCAGAGCAGCCATTCACCTCTCAATCACACACACTAACACACTCCCTGTGAGTCCACATTCTTGACCCTGGCTTGGTCAGCCACATTACAGCTATATGTGCAAAGTCACACACACACACACACACACACACACACACACACACACACACACACACACACACACACACACACACACACACACACACACACACAAAGGAAATAACAGGTTATACATCTATCAATGTTCGGCAGCCTGCTTTCAGTGTCACATCATCATTTGGATGAACAGAGGGGCAAATTTAAGGCCAGACTTTGTAGCTCAGGTGCTGGGGAACTGTTGAGAACTTTATGTGAGTTTCTCTGTAGTTAGCATATTTAAAAGAATAAAAAAATAACAAAATAACAAATAAAAACCTTCAAATAAACATAGATGTAACAGACGTAAAACACCAAGGATGAAAAACATGGACAAATTAACCAGAACAAATAATTTTTTCATGACATACAAACTACAAATGTTTATTTATTTATTTATTTATTCTTTTTTTTTTTTTTTTCAGTATGTTTTATAACTTTGGGTTTTTCTTTGACATACTTTAATTTCCATTTCTAATTGTTGCACCTGAATGAGGGGTATACAGTTTAAACAGGCAGTGGCAGGTGATTGAATTTCAGTTGGAGGGCATGAATAGTTCTCCTTCTCCCCCAGGCACCCAATGAAACAACAAGACCACATTTGAAGACTCTTTGTTACCCACAACCCTTTGGTGGGTTACAGTTTGTCCCTCCTGTCTTGCCTCATTTTGTCTCCAGCTTGTACTGTGTCATCACACACTGAGATGATCACTGTGACAGGGACCTGAGGAGGGTGGCTGCACTGGTGCAGCTCCAGTAAGATCAAGCACAAACGGGGTCCCTGCACAGTCCAGTCTGTAGGCTTTATTTCACTCTTCATCACTCAGAGTTTAGAGGGCATTTCTCTGATCGCTTTCACTTTCCTTCATTTTAATATTTGTTTGAAAACCCCAAAGTCTCTGGAAAAGTCATTTTCAGTACACCACGAAGCTCTTTACCTCAGGAGCTCTTCAACAGATATGATGCTTTGTGATTAAGTGTCTTCTTCACCAGGAACCCTCACAGTTTAAAGAATATAGACATTTGTAAACAGGTTTTAGGAGGACAGCCCCTTGTTGCTGCATCTCTTAGTTGTTTTTTTAACCGACTTTATTGTCTGTGTGCAGCTTCTTGTAATGACAGCAATACTACAAAGACAAGAAATTGAAATATGAAAGGACTTTTAGTAGAAATACTACAATGGGAAGCATGGCACAAAGACTAGGCCTACAAATCAAGGAAGGGGGATTAGAGTCTGTGAGTCGAGAGAGGAAATCCTCATCTTTACTGTGCAAACAGGTGAGAGAGTGACGGAGAGAGGAAACGATTACAGGAGGAGGAGAATAAAGAGTCAGAGAGGAAATCTGCCATCCTGCCTTTGCTCAGCAAACAGAGGAGTGGCTCAGGGGTTTTAGGAAGAGAGGGATAGGGAAAGAGAGAGGTAGAGTAGGGGAGGAACCAAGAGAGAAAAACAATAAAGAAGCCGAGAGACATTTAAGGACAGAATGAAGATTCAGCGTTTGAGGAGACAGAGAGTGACGGTTCCGCAGGCTCATCCAACAGCCTCCTTTTTATGCACAGACACGAACGGCTGAGAGGCAACTCTGATATGAAGCGATACCCCCCCCCCTCCCCCCACACACACACACACACAGAAATTATGCACTCATACACACCCAGCTACAGATAGGGTGTATTACATATTACAAGCTGTTAAGTCTGCAGTCAGAACAGATGTTTATTCATGACGAGCACAGGAGGAGAATGTCAGGGCATACCTGCTGCTAAGCTTGCGCAAACACGCACACACACACTTACAAACTGGCAGAAATTTAAATGTATATACGGCCTTACAGTGAGACATAGCACATGCTTCAATTAATGGCACAAAGGCAATAGCAGTACTTCAGATAAGCCAGGACACTCCAGTATATGGTATTGCCATTTCTAAGATGTGGTATAGCTGGACTTCTTTCTGCATACCTGGACTTTTAACCAACAGCTCATTCCTTCACCTGTCCTCTACGTGTTACGCTTTCTCTCAGTCATTCATTATCACACCTAAAATGCATCACCCATGGCGCACGACTTGATGCTTGGCTGCTTCCACGCATGTAATGTGAAGTGTATTGGTCTGTTTCTGCTTGAGAGTAATACCAAATTAACTCCAACTCACATGTCTCTATAGTGTTGAAGTGATGAAGGACAATCCCATTTATGAAAGAAAAAACAGCAATATCAAACAAGGACACTAACCCATGGAGGGCTGGATGAAAACAGGTCTTTATTTCATAAATTTACTGAAACTGGCCTCACATTACATCTGGGTAAATAAGGAGACTTAAACACTTATTTTCCACTGAAGGCACTGGGAGTTAGTCTGTCTCCTCTGATACACCATACCTGAATAAACTCTGATATTCTTGTAATATTTGTACGGTCCATGATGATTTTGTTCCCAACTTTGGTCTCAGTTAGAAATCACGTACAATCTGCTGGTGCATCACAAATACTGCTGGAAAATACAGTGCATCCTGACAATATGTACTCTTGCCATGACACACTGTAAATACTCATGTTCATGATATATTTTAGATTTTTATTTTTAATGCATTTTCAAAAGATTCAAATAAATGTTTTTCTCTTTATAAGGTATTGTGTGTTGAATTTAGAGGTATGAATTTAATAAATTTTGGAATAAGACTGTAACACAAGAAAACATGATAACAGTAACGTGCTGTGAATACTTTAGGGATGCACTGTATTGAGAAAAAGTGCATCAGTAATTCACCATATATAAGTTTGGTAAAACTGAACTTAGGCTGGAGTAAGAGCATGGAGGGCCACCACCCAGAGACATCTGTAGGAAATAGACTGTAACTGATATCAAGACACTCCCAGTGTTGCCAACTCCTTAGTAAAGAAATTCACTAGTGGCTGTCGTAAAAGTTGCTAGAAGTCGCTAGATGGGTGTCTGCGTCTGTGTTTTTGATGCACACCGGCTACCCATTGAGAAGAGTAACAACGATACCTGTGTTCATGTTAGAGTCTCTAAACTCCAGAAAAAGTCACTAGATTTGTCGCTTGGCGCTTTTTTGAAAATAAGTCACCAGGTGTGTCTGAAAAGTCGCTAAATCTAGCGGCAAGGTTTCTAGTTAGGCAACACTGGACACTCTAGAGACGTCAGAAGAGTCTTAGCTAGACTAAGGAGCCAATTTGTGAAGTTTCCACAGTCTATGATGGTTTGGGGTGCTATTCCTTTTGCTGGTGTTGATCTACTGTGTTTTATCAAGTCCACAGACAACACAGCCTCAAGTCAACCAGGTTTTAAACACCCCTATGCTTCAATCTGCTGACAAGTTTTATGGTTATACTGGTTTCCTTTGCCAGCAGGACTCCTGCACCTGCCCACAGCGCCAAAATTCCTACAAACTGGTTTACAGACCATTGGGTTACTTAGCCAGCCAAGTGGCCTGAGCTAAATCCCAAAAAGAGTCTGCTGAACAGTTATCCATATGAAGGTGAGAAACTCCTAAACCAAAAATGCTGACCAGCTAAAGGCCACTGTCAAATCAGCTGCTTGCTCTTCAAGTAAAGGTTTGTGCTTTCCTCTTTAAAAAGGCAATCTCAATAAGAACATTTCTGAACAAATAAAATGTACATGAATGAATACTGTCATGCCTTGATCTACTTCAGGTGGGTAACTTGCCCTGTGCTGAGTTCACATTTGCTATATGTCCTTCTCACAGTCAAACATATCTAACCAATTAAGCAGTGATGATTTCAGCTCTCTCATTCTCTGCTCTGTCTGTCATTATCTCTGCTGACCTGCACCTGCTGCACTCAAACTTTCAGCTCCACCACCTTCATGCATCCATCTGCAGGCTCCCACTACATATAGGGTTTCAAATATTATCACACCTCAAATTCTGTATGTTTAAAAAGCTACGGTAAATGTTCACACCAATGCACCATGATTGGCCAGACTGAATATCATGGGCTTTTAAGTTTCTACAGCTCTGATTTGCAAATTTGACTTGCAACTTCTCCATGGCAACTGCAACAGAGGTCCTTTAGTGCTGAGGTATTTTAAGCCACCCCCAATGTGGAGAAAAAAAAAAGAAAAGGAAAAAAAACTACTTTCAAACATGAAGATAGAATGATCTGTGATGATGACTGCAATGGTAATTAAAGATTAATTTAATAAGGATAGTGTTTAAAGCACATTAATAAAAGGGGGAAACCAGTGTTGGAGGAAGCAGTCCATCCAATTTTACATCTGGGTTATTTGATGATCCAGTTTTGATGAATTTCAGCTTTGCAGCCATGTATTGTAGGACATTTTTCGATTCTGGCACTTCAAAGTGATTGCTGCTTTTAGAGCACACTCTGCTGAAATTTAGTCTAAAACACAGTCATAGCACGTCTGTCATTTGTTTATTCTAGTCTTTTCTTCTCTGGTAGTTGACAGGCACCTTGTTTGGTGACCTGACAGTGGCACTCACTAATGGAGTCTCACTCAGAACATCACTACACACACACACACACACACACACACACAAAGTGCAGCAGAGAGAACAAGACTTTTGATTGCACTTCACTGCTTTGCTGGTATTGCCAAATTGCCACCTTTATCCCTCCTACCCATCCATTGCTGCCTCCCTGCATCTCCTCCTGTCTGTGTGTGTCGCCTAGAACCAAGCACAGGCGAAGGACAGGAAAGGACACAGCATAAAACACAAAGGTCAAAATGCCATGGCACATCCTGACCTGACAATTACACAGTGCTGAAGCTGGCTGAAAACTCTAAAACGTGCCAAGACAACTGAGAGGGAATCTGAAGTTAATTCAGCAGCTCATGTGTGACAGCAGCCGTGACAGTCATTGGCAATCAGATATGCTCGCTTATTTGACATGCATGCAACAGCATATGGTGGCCCCTTTTAAAAGTGCAGAGTCACACCCGAAATGTATTATCTGGCACAAAACAGCTGTGTTGTGAAGGATTGGTTGACAATTTAGGGGTTCTACCTCCATAACAACTTGCTGACTTGACATAATTTCACTTATTACAACACCACTTACTTTCAAAGTCAATAATCTAGACCAATGAAAGAAACCAATGGAGTTTAATTGAGAAGCAGTAAAAAGAAAAAAAAAAGGCATAGCAGGTGATTTGAAAAGTATGTAAAAGATGTCTGCACGCCTTATATCCTCTGGGAGGTAGTTCAAAAGTCATGGGGCTCTGAAGCAAAAAAGCAAAATGCCCAACAAAGAATCCAAGAGCTCTGAGGATCAAAGGGCTTTGCAGTGATTAGAAAAGCTGTGTCTCAGGTTTTAAGTGCTTTGCAACACCCAGAAGAGCTCCAACTCAGAATCATATACTCATGGAACAACTAGAGCTTTGAAATAACAAGAAGAGCTCTACCTGAGAATGTAAGAACCTAAAGGTCTAAGGGCCTTCGAACGACCAAAAGAGCTCCAACTGAGAATCTAATGGCTTTGGAAAGACCAGGGGCCTCATGTATCAACACTTGCGTGGAACTCATACCAGAAACGAGCGCATGCAAGGTCCGTCACGCTGAAAAAAATCTGTATGTATCAATGTGTGCGGGCGCCGAAATCCACGTGTGTTTCCTTGATAAATCCCAATCAGCGTGGAATTGAGCGCAGATGTCGGAGTGACTGGGCCCGTCCCCGTTACGCCCTCCTATAAATATGCAGATTTATTTAAATAGGGTCTCCCTGTCCTCGCACGCAGACAAAATGACAAGAAAAACTAAATTTACGGCGTGCGAGGTGGAGGTGCTGGTGGCGGAGGTGGAGGAGCGACAGCGTGTTTTGTTTGGCAGCCTGTCCAGTGGCGTCAGTGCAAATCAAAAACGCTTGGAGTGGGAGAAAGTTTGCGAGAGGGTGAATGCGGTGGGTTCCGAGACACGCACCCCCGCGAACATTAAAAAAAAAGTGGTCAGACCTCAAGGTGGAGGTCAAGCGGCGAACAGCTGCCCTCCGGAGGAGTACTGGCCAGACAGGTGGGGGTCCGGGGGAGGAGACCCTCACACCGTTTGAGCAGCGGGTGGTGGCGATTATTATTATAGGGTAAGTGGCGTGTCTCACAAATGTCCGCATGCTTTGTCATCCCACTGAGCAAAAGACGTATATTAGACGTCTAGTCTAAGTTTATACTTCATTTCAACGTCGGGATTCAGTCTATTTTTAGACGTGATTTATACTTTGCCCTTAACTTCATTTTTCGATAACTTTTTATGCAATAAACAACTGTAATGTGCATAACTGACCTCTAAATACTGGATTACATTACCTATGATACCGTGGAGAGAGATGTAAACGCAACAGATACACAGAAGCAGGAATTGAAATGAACTAATATTTTTATTGCGTCACAGAAATCAATGTGTCGGCCGTGTCGCCGGCTTGCGGAACCCCGGCCCGCGGCAGCCCGTCCGCCGGCTTGGAGTCGTCGGCCAGGACCAGCGGCATTCGGGCCACCCCAGCCCCCGGCCCCAGCACCAGCATCAGCACCAGCGCGCCGACAAGCGGTGGAGCGTCCACCAGCCGCGGCGCTTCCGCTGGACCACCCGGACGCAGTGGAAGGGTCCTCGCGGAGGGGTTCCTGCAATCGCAGGAAGAAATCATCAGGGGGATTGCGGGGATCAACGAGCAGCTGGACCGGCTCGTAAATGTCCTCGAGCGTCTGGTGGAGAAAATAAATTAATTTGGCTCATTGAACTGTATATTCACTTCTTACCCATTCACACTGTGGCGATCAGATTCTCCCGCGCGAGGACGGCGGCCCGGCAGGGATCAGCTCGCATCCCTCCGTCTGCTGCTGGTTCGTCATGTGGGGCGACGTGCTGCTCGGCCACGGGGATGTGGTGCACGCTTGTCACATAGTGAGTCACCAAACACCGCCACACAGCGTCGCCAAAGTGCGAATCACAGTCAACGCAAGTATCGGCTCAACGCCAATTTCTACACCACCTCCTGACTTTGCGTTGATTAGCGCTGGAACCGACGCTTGTTTCGCGATGATAAATCTGGACGTGTGCGCCGATTTTGGCGTACGCAAGGTTTTCTTGCGCCACAAGCGTTGATACATAAGGCCCCAGGTTAGCTCCACCTAAAGGTCTAAGTAATGCCCTCCAGCTCTGCCAAGTGGCAGCCTCTCCCTTTCCCCTTCTTTCTCTCTTTTCCTTTTTTTCCCCAAGTGGGCGTGAGTGAGGTGTGTTGAGTGCAGACAGGAACAGGCAACTCAGACCTCTGCCATAAAACCTGACTGCTCCCACAACTCAGATCCTGCTCTTCTCTGCTTCCCTGCTGGACCTTTCAAGCACTCAGCTGCGTTGCACACCTCCTCAGACTGCCTTCTCTCATCTTCTCCCTCTACTGGATCCTGTAGCAAGGCTCTCTACTAGCTCACTGGGTCGATTAGTTCTAGTCAGGGTAGTTGTGGGACCAACTAAAACCAAACCAAACCAAAACATACTGGAAGTTTGTGACACAGTCAAAGTTCTGGGGGTCACCATTCAAGCTGACTTGAAATGGAACAGTCAGGTGGACTATATGTTGACCTCAGCCAACAGAAAGCTGTTTGTCCTATGCCGTCTGAAGAAATTTGGTGTCAAAGACCCAGAATTGGTCTCCATCTACACAGGCTATGTTCGGCCAGCGCTGGAGTACGCTGTCCCAGTCTGGCACAGTTCCCTTACTGCCAGCCAGTCAAATAGTCTGGAAAGAGTTAAAAAACGGGCGAGCAGAATCATTCTGGGCCAGCGGTACATAGGATACACAGAAGCTCTCCACACCCTCAAATTGTGCTCCCTAGCAGAGAGGCGCACTCAACTAAGTCTTGATTTTGCCAGGAAGCTGTTCAAGTCCAACTTCAGAAACTGGCTACCCCCACTCAGGAAAGAGATCTCTGGACGACAAACACGGAATGGAGATGGCCTGGACACCCCAACATGGCGAACTGAGAGATACAAGAAATCCCCAATCCCATATATGCGCAGACTACTAAATGAGAATGATGTTTAGCTTTTTAAGTTTTTAGGTTGTTGCTTCTTAAGCTGCATTTTATATTTGAAGCTTTATTTTTTGTAATCAGCAAAATAATTCAGTGTTTTTAATGGCATCTGTCTTTTTTAAACGTCTGTGATCATGCTGAAAGCTGAATAAACATAAACAGTTGTGAGTCTTTTAGTGTGTTTTGTTTTCCTCTCAGCATGTAGCTTAGTTTGTCAGATTTTTGAGGTTTTTTTTTTGTTCTTTTTAGATTCTTTAGCTTCTCCGAGATCAGTTAGTTTAGATGTGTTTGGTTTGTAGAAGACCCTTATTTTTTATTTATTTTTATCCACACAAGTAGTATCCTCTTAAAGGCATTTAGTTCTTGTTTGACCCACTTCCTCAGTTCTCCAGATTGACTGCATTAATTTTTTTGTTACTTAGTGTTGTTAATAAACCCTTTTCTGTGTATCTGCATGTATGCTGTGTCTCTCCTTTATCTGCACCTGAGTCTCTGAGCAGCCCCCCGTGACAGTCTATGGCAGTGGTTCTCAAGTCCAGTCCTCGAGGCCCACTGTCCTGCATGTATGGATGTTTCCCTGCTCCAACAGACCTGATTCAAATGATCAGCTCGTTATTAAGCTCCGTAATGGCTTAAAAAGGAGCTAATCATTTGAATCAGGTGTGTTGGAGCAGGGAAACATCCAAAATATGCAGGACAGTGGGCCTCGAGGACTGGACTTGAGAACCACTGCCATAGAACAACTACAAAAGCTCCACGTGGAATTTTCACCCAAAACCAGTAAGGCTCATCCTCATGATCCGAGTAATTTTGAAAGACCAGAACAGTTATAGACAGAATTTAAGGGTCTTTAACAAGCAAAGAGCTTAACCTGATGATCACAAGGGCTTTGGAGGGTTGTGGTGGTGAGTTATGGAAGAGTCATAGGAAAGCAGTCCACTCATTTCCCCCATGACCTTTTTCTAAGCAATGCTCAGAAAGTTAGCTCAGCTATAGTGCGTCATGTGCCATCCTGCACTTCAGCCTCCACCTGTTTGGGATCACATGTCCCTGATGTCCAGGACGTGGAGATTACTAAGTCTAAATGTAGCAAGTAATAGAAGTGATTTTGTGACTCACCACTCAGAGACCACCTGATAAGAGTTATTTTCAGGTGCTTGAGTTTCTCTGTCCTTCACTTCTGAGTCAGAAGGCTCAAACACATAGGGTGGCATGCTGCACCACTTTGTGTCGTGACTGTTCAATCAACACGTTAGCTGCTGCGCCCACACAGTCCTGAGAAAGGGAGCTATTTTCCAAATGTTTTCTATGGAAATGGATGTTTATTTTTATGCTTGATGACACACTGAATTTCTATACTATAGATTATTATATATACATAATATATTTAATGTCAAGTCATGTTCAGAGCGCTACATGCTCCAAAGCTAATGACAAACCTTTGGCACCATTATATCACGGGTCAAGATCACAGGTCCTCTTCACAGGCATTTCTTGGTGACCCTTAAAAATATTTGTAAGAACTAAGTTCTCTCCATCTTCCAGTTGGCAGCCCATATGCTTTGAATGGTCGTCTGTTAAGCCTGAGGTTTAAGGATTCTGTCAACTCTTAAAAAAGCAGATAAAAATCCATCTGCTCAGACACTTAGGAAGCATATGGCATTCAAACTAATTTGTGTCCTACGTCTGTGTGATTGCAGGCTTTATCTTTCATTTCTTGGACTGAATTTAATTTGATATATTTTAGATATTTGGTTCATAAGCACACCACACCTCTGCTTAAGATGCTCTACTTTGCTGTCTTAGCATGGACAGAAATATCCCTGGTTTAGTTCCTTTGTGGTATGAAAGTAAAAAAAAGACACACTGACAGATTTAGTAAAAGAATATAATCAGTTATATTAATAAGAATTTATAAGCTGGGCTGCTTTCAAGAGCATCTGCTGATCATGTCAAGGCAGCAATCTGTGTAAGCAGCATGTTTCACAAAATTGTTTGGTAACCATGGTAACCTGTCCACAGGTGACTGTGGGGATTTTCCTTCAAACATCAGGTAATGAAATGAAGAAAAGAGATGTGATAATGTTAGAACCTGTGGCCTTGCTCCACTCTTTCTTTATATGTTGCAGGTTTTGAAATGATTTTTGGTGCTGTATCAGAGGGCCTCTATACAACCTGGGGTCCGTTTCACGTAGGTGGTTCAACAAACTCTGAGTTAAATCCTTAACTCTGAGTTGATCTACTCTGAGATAGGAAACTCTGAGTTTCCGGTTTCACAACACCTGATTTGAGACAGTTTTAGCAACTCCGAGTAGTTTGACCTGGAGTTAAGCACGTGCACGCCAGACATAAACAGCCAGCATCTGTGGAGCCCAGATTCATTGATCAACCAATGGAAACAGGGAGAAGGAGGGGGCAGCAGCAAGCCAACGGCGAATTACAGCACGTTTTTAAAAGAAAGTGCAATACAGCAGCAGCTGCAAAGGAGAGGGAGAGGGCATGGGAGGAAATCGCTGCTCGCGTCAATGCGTAACTTTAAATCTAGTCTTGTGCAATCACAATGACAGACTGTTGCAGGGAAACTGCTTGGATCATTTTGATCATGTTTTACATTGTCAAGTAAGTATTAAGTGGCAGTTTGATCCCTTACAAAATGCTCTTTTCACACTCAAAAATGAATTTTACTCTCTTATGTTGTTCCGTTAAATGATTAGGAATATTAAACTAACTCTCAGTATGTATATGTACATATATTAAACTAACACACACTACACTCAATATTAGACTTTCACTCAGCAAACAGAAAGAGGGCAGATGCCAGAAAAACGGGTGGTGGCCCAGCAGCCCCACCTTTAACGGAGGCAGAGGAGCTGCCCCCCCCCCTTCGACGATCGCAAATCCCCCCACCCCCCACCCCATCCGCGATCGTCGGACTGGTGTGCGTGTGTGTCTGTGTGTGTGTGTGTGTGTGTGGGGGGGGGGACCGACCGGCCGCGATCGTCGAACGGGGGGGTGGGGGGCAGCTCCTCTGCCTCCGTTAAAGGTGGGGCTGCTGGGCCACCACCCGTTTTTGTGTTAGTTTAATATTCCTAATCATTTAACGGAACATCATAAGAGAGTAAAATTCAATTTTGAGTGTGAAAAGAGCATTTTTTAAGGGATCAAACTGCCACTTAATACTTACTTGACAATGTAAAACATGATCAAAATGAGAAAATGCCGATGTCTCACCTGAAACTCTGGGTTTACTGAGTTAAACCTGCTCCCGAGCAGGTTAGGTTCACGGAGTCTGTTACTGTGGTAACTGACCGCGAGGTTGAGTTACCTCTCTTTGTGAAACAGGTTAGAGTTACCCCTCTCTCCCTGGTTTAACTAACCCTCCTTTGTGAAACAGAAAACTCAGAGTTTCCCTGATTTCAGGGTTAACAGACTCCGAGTTTCCATTAAACCTGCTATGTGAAACGGACCCCTGGTTTCATATGCAGTGATACACACAATGCTGTCCGAAGAACAAAGGCTGAATGTCTTCTCCACAAAAGCTGTCTTTGCTTATTCTCACAACGTACAGATCCTGACCAGTCTTCCGAAATACAACTGTTTTGTTCGAACAGATTCAGAGAACATATCTCTTTTCAAGTTTGAGTTTCCTTCTACATTCACAGAGTTTGACACCTTTGTTTGGACATTTGTTTTAAATGTAAGTGTTAGCTGCACCTTGTAAAAACTTCAGTTTGTTGTGTCATTACCACATGTCATCCAGTAGGTGCTCCTAACGTTTGTCTATGAGTCGATATAAAGGGTCTTGTCGCAAACTGGCACAAGTGTCATGGTCATTCTCGATGTGAAGCAATCATCACTACTCATTACAATTCTCTGCATGATCATTGAGAGTTAGCCACTGACTGCAGTTACTGAATCACAACAATGTCATGGTGGTGCTGCTGTCATTATCAGTCCAGTGCAGCAGAGAAGATGCTACACCACCTCAGAGAAAGAAAGAGGAAATGTTTCTTTGTTGGAGGTGAAGACCACCCATGACTGTTTCCAAAGCAGAGTTCATTTTAACAGTTTTATTCCATGACGTCTTAATCTATAGACCAAACTGCTTTTCACTTGTAATTTTTTTTTTGTCATTTCTGCCCTCGATAGTTTTAGTTCAGGGTTAGCTGGCGAAAAAATCTAAACCTTCTCTTCTAGTGTGAGTCAATGAAAAGTTATTGTATTTTAACCATTGCCTTCATGTAAATCCTTCTCTGTTTTTAAAGTTTATCAGTAATCAGTATGGTTGTTCTGAGGGACTCCATGTTAAATCTGAATTCCACACTTAATCGGATGAATTAGTCCAGACTCACCAACCAGTGCTCACATGGAAAAGCAGTAGCTTTGGTTTTCTAAAGAGTCAACATTTTATGTTGAAGCTCTTGTTGTTGGACCCCAAATTATGTTCAAAGCAGACCATATTGTTTGTTGTGTCATGATAACACTTGTTATGGCATATGTTGTGTTTTGTGTGCAGTTCTCCCCCTTTTTTCTTCCACAAAGGTTGAGCGGCTCTTTCCTCTGGCTTCTCCTGCACCAGCGCACCTGCATCTCATCTCTTGTAATCACCAGCTGCATTTAAGCTCTGCTTAGAAGACTCTCTGTGTCATATTATTCCCACACCTTTCGTGGTATCTCAGCATGCTTCTAAGTGTAGCAAATTTGAGACCTTTTACCAATGCTTGTGTATTCTTTGGATGATATTAATCCCTGCTCTCCTCTTCTCTCCTCCATTGCCTCTCGAGCCCAGACCCCAACCTCTGCCATGGCTGCCACAACTCTCACATTGAAAACTCACCTGACTTCACTGCATCTCACCTGCCACAGCTCCTCACCACACTGCACAGCTACTCCACTCCCCCTAGCCTTCATTGATAATAAATATTTCAACACTTCCCCCTGCTTCCAATCTGCTTTTGGGTTCAGCACAAAACTACAGGCAGGACATCCTGACATGTTGACTCTGATCTTTTAAGGCCACAATTTTGTGTTGTTGATAAATAGATCAGTAACAACAACAACAACAACAACAACAACAACAACTGCAGCTGCTGCTGTTGCTGTTGTTGTTGTTGTTGTTGTTATGATTATTGTTGTCATTGTTATTATTTTACTCTAACGGTGGATATCCTGGTAACTAAAGTTATACTATTATGGAAAAGACTTTGTCCTTCTTGCACCGGCCATTGTGCACATTCCAACTTAAACTTGAAGCAAAGAGAGTAATTAAGTTGATTACTACTGTGTCTGTACATAGAGTGTCATTCAAAGTTAATTATTCTCGGATAATAACTGATGGTCTATGGAAAAACTGCAAGATGAAAGAAACATGAATTTACAACATGAGGGCAGACATTCATACATGCAGATAAAACTATGTACTCACATATTCACATTGCAATCTCAAACGCAAGTATGAATTTGTTCTAGGATTTGTATATCATATAAATCAGAAAATGATTTGAGCAGATCAGATAGCATAACTTGGAAAAAAAAAAAAAAAAAAAAAAAGAAACATTCTTCTTGTAGGCAGCCTGTTCCGCCTTGTACAGCACTATTTGTACCCAATACATAATTTTTTTCTGCAGATAACAAAGAGTTTATTCTTAATCACACTGATTAGCAGCAGGACGCTGGACCAAAGTCAATCTTGAACGAAGAATAAATTCTGGAGCTCTGAGTTCATCAGACTGTCAGTGTTGTATTAGTCATCTAAAAGCTGATCTAGTCACATTGAGTCATCAGAGTTAGCATGAGATTTTAGGCCAAACAATTTGACAAACCATCCATGGTCGGCACTGTAGGGTCAGAAATTGTACTGCAACAGTAACAGGAACAACAGGTTTCTTTTTTAAAGAACATTTATCTTTATCCTTTAATTTTCTCTTTTTGTATCTGTATTTATGCTGCTTTTAATTTTTTGAATTCCCCCCTTGGGACTATTAAAGGAATATCTTATCTGCAACAGGGTTTCATCATATTGTATCTATAAAAAATACTTTGACCTTTGAGAGTTACACAGGATTAAACATGTTATGAAATCGGTCTGTATAATTTTTAAATAAGAAGATGCTGTAGTCAGGTACTATGGTATTAGCCTCATGCATATGGAAGCCCCTCCAGCATTTTGTGGCACAGTTTGAGGAAATAAAGACTCTCTCACAGTCTTTAAATGGAAGTGAGGAGTCAGCAAAACTCCTGTCTTATATCAGCAGGAGTCTAGAGTCCAGAAATGATAGAGACAGAGTGGGGAAGACAGAGATGGAAAAAAGGTTGAGGATATTACAGTGGTGGGAGGAGCAGATAGCAAGAATTATGACTCCAAAAAAAATGAGGATATGAAATATGACTGAAGCCCAGCTGTGCTGCCACTACAACTCGCTGAGTTGACAAAAACAGTTTAAAATTCATCTATCATCATTATTATCATCATCTGTAGTGGATATCAGTCCTGCATTTCGTTTACAAACACTCCTCATCCTCTTTCCTATGCATCTCATTTATTAGCGCTTTGAAAATTCTGTCTGTATTCCTCTTCCACATCCGACGGTTTAGGAGAAACTCAGGCAGGAACTGTGCTGTGAAAATACTTCAGGTTTATCTATGTGACCTGGGGCCTGTTCTACGAAGCAGGTTCAACTTAGCGAGGTAGCCTTGGAGCTACCTCGCTCAACTTAGCGTGGTAGCCAGCGGTCTCCCTAAGCGGTTTTACGACGCTGGTTATCAACCTCATAAGTGGATCCAGCTCTGCTATGAGCGCGTGCACACATATAAGGCGGAGCCCGTCGCATCTGACCAATCGCGAACATGGATCAGTCTGGAGCGTCAGAGCAGGCTGGAGAACGAGGAACAGGAGACGATCATGAGATCATGAATTGAAAGCTATCATAAACCTCAAAAGCAACACCGTCGCCGCTGCAAAAGCACAGAGGGAATGCTGGCAGAAAAGTAATCTTTGATGCCATTATCATCCTGAAATAGCACTGTTCAACATGCGCTTTTAACTAAGGTGACAGTCCCCGAATTGGATGATCTGTCCCCGGCTTAAGCTGTCCCCGAAAATGTCCCTGATTTAAGCGTTTCATGAATGAGAACAAAAATGTTGCATGTGGGCTAGAACAACAGTTGTTACAGTGGGTAGGAAGCACAAGTAAGCAGTCCTGAACAACAGTATTTACGGGGTTATTAAAAGGGGCGTGCGCTGCTACTAAATAGTACTGAGATGTTGTCTGTGATCGCGCAGCCCATGCAGCTCATGCCCATTCATTCCCAAGATGAATCATTCATTTGTTCATTCCTATCGTGTTTACATGTTTTGTGTAATATGTCGGCCATACGAGCCTTTCATAAAGGTGGTCATCCGGAGAAAATTCTCCCTGAAAACTCTCGCGAGCCGGAGTGCTCCTCGGACAATGCGACCACCGAGGTCTACAGGATCCTCCCAGAACGGACCAGCCGTTTTTCGAGAGAGCTCATTGGTCAGTGGGCGGGGTTTTTATACTCGGTGAGTTCAATCTGGAACTTGACCTGCCCCGGAGC